CTGGAATAAGGTAATATGACCAACTGGAGCCAGGAGGTAATGGAGTCATAGCAGGGAAATAAGGGACAATCGAAGACTAGACAGCTGAGGTGTCTCTGTCTAGAAGCATTTCTCTGAGATTGAACTGAGAAAGAAGGCAGCCCAAAACCTCAACTAAGTAATGTACCAGTACTTGTGTCTGGAACATTAAGTTTCTTTCTGTACTTTTCTGACAATTTTGTGGAATAAGTTCTTTTTCTGAGACTGGAATGAACCTACAGACAACATTAATACATACTTTTCATTAGCAGCTTCAAAGAGAGTACAATAGTTGTAGTATGTACTATACAACCTCCTCTTCCACTAATACAAGTTGCCATTTCATGGGGAAGTCAAAACCTGATCTTCTGTCAGAAGGGACCCTGGAGGCTAACAGTAAATAGGTCAACACATCATACTCGGACCTGAGAATATAACTTCTGACTCCATGAGAAGCTTCCATACTCCCTGACTGAACAGTTTAGGCACAGTCACCACGCAGGAATTGACAGGATGGCTGGCTGGGCTACACCTGTTTCATGGGGACAGCAAGTCATGGAGACTTTAAACAAATGCTACTCGTGAACATTCAATCCAGAGAAAATTCATGACTGAAAAAACTAACCTGAAACTCTTGTTGTTAGGCAATGGACCCTGATTTCCTACAGAAATTTGAAAACAACTTTTAATGTTACTTTACTTCTTATTGTTATACAGCCATCTGCAAGTGTAAAGTAAATCCTTTTCTCCTGCTCATCTCTCTCTGTTGGAAATATTCTACATGGCTCTTCCTCTCCCTAGCAGTTCAGAATTGCCATAGGATTTAATTCCTGGCTTGTCCATTATGCTCACTGAGGGCAGCAGGGATTTCCTCCTGGGAATACTTGCAACGGCCAACGGCAGCTGCTCGGGGAAGCAGCAGGCAGGAAAATGAACTGTAACTGCAGTTCCTCCACATTTCTGGGCATATGCCTTCTCCGCTCTCACGAAGTTCCCTATCTTAAAGGACCTAATCAAATAGAGAACACTTCGACAAGATCCTAAGAAAATCAGGACAAACAGTCTGTGCATTTCTGCACCTCTCAGGAGGAAGGCGCTGTATTTTTAGGTCATGATCTCTGGAACATTGCTGCATGCGATCCCCAGGCATCCGAATGCTTTGAACTGAGCCAAAAAAGCCCCAGAGCGAAGACCGAGAGGAATGCCACAAAGCAGCATCCATTTTAAGCTGATGCTTTATTTCTAGCCCTAGAGGCCACAGACAAAAAAAAAAGAAAAAATCATAGACAATCTCTTTCCCAAATAAAAGCACACTATGCATTCCTCTTTGCCTTCCCCAAATGAAAGCTTTAGTGCAGTGCTTGGTGTATAAGTGAGCATTTCTTCACAGCACAAGGCAGAAATAATGACTATGCCTGTTGCTCACTTTTGCATACAAGCAGATTAGTGAGTCACTGCAGACAGCTGACTTCTGTGTGGTGGGATGTTTTGGCACATATGCCATTGGAAAGAAGGAAAAAAAAAGAAAACACAGCTCCAGCAAATGTCGGAGCAGGCCATCTGCACAGATTCAGTATAGCTGTATTTTTCAGCCATTTGGTGACATTATTTTTGTATATGCACACTCCCAATTCAAAATGCTTGAGGTGGATTTTGTCAAAGCCTTTTGGCTTGTTCAGTTCTGCTCCCACTGCAGAAAGACCCCCATTGATTTCAGCAGGAGCAGAATTTGGACAATTTGGAAAGCTCTGGAGAAAAAATTGCTTCTCAAATTTTCCTTTATACATGTGGACCTGAAACAGTTTTCACATTACAGGGTTCTTCAGGTGTTTTTATACTAAAGAACTGGCTGAAGCGAGGACTGGACATGAAAAGCACAGTAGAAGTAGCTGGTGAGCTAATGATTTTCCTGATCCAATGATTTTCCACTCAGGCGCAGGAAAACATCCTGATAATCATGCCTGTGTGGTTAGGTAGCAGATCAAGCCTGTTGTAGGTATAGGTTAATGACATTTGACAGAAAATCAATCTGGTACCATTTACTCCAAAATAAAAACTTATTAAAGCATACAGCTACAGTTGGGGGTGAGGTGCTGGGAAACACCCCAAACCCAACAAACAAAAGCATTTCTCCATTTTTATTCACCTAACATTCTGGGGAAGGTCTAGTGTGCAGCACTCCAATATATTTTCTAAATTTTAAATTTACTAGACACTGATCTGTAAACTGCAAAATTTAAGTACTTATCTGTGAACTGAGTGAGAATGCCTGGGAAGTTTATGATCTTGCATGTGCTCATTCAGAAAAAGCAGGGAATGATTTCAAAGCGTGTTTACTAAACCAACCCCTACTGATTATTATCTGTTGTTTGGAAATATCCGGAGTCCTCAACAACTTGTAGGCACTATTTGTGCTGGACACCTCTTCCAATTGCCTTACAGACAGAGAAACCCAAGGAAAAGCCGAGCAGTAGAAACAACTCCATATAACACAGTAACACAGAGCACAGCAGAGCACAGCAGAGCAAAGTCAAGGTCTCCCACATCCCAACACAGTCACACCACACCCATAAAACTATATTGACCCTTCACATTTCATGTTCATCACACTGCAAGAATTAGATGTTAATTTTGTTTAATTCTAACGGTGTAAAAAACCATGACAATTCAAAAAACCCAGAACCATTCCAAACCAAGCTCTATTATTTGGCACAATATATCAGTTTCATTTCCTGCAATACTTGCAGGACCTTGGCACACAGACCTTTATGTACTACATCTTTGGAGGTCAGTATTCTCTAACAGTCTTTGGACTCATCACATTTCACAGGCAAGCCAATAGGACAACAAGGCTGAATAGCATGTCAGTACATAACAAATTAAATTGAGGATTCAGCTTAATAAACCTTTGGCTCAGCTGGAACAGTTTCCTTACTAAGCTAGTAAGCTTGCTTGTCTGCACTTTGGGTCAGGTCGTTTCAAATCCACAACCTGCATCCCAATTTTACACATCCTAACAAAATAAACCACACTTAAATCGACCTACTGTCATGAAATATTTATTTTTTAGCAATCTTTCTTTTCCAAAAGAAAAGCAGTTTGTTAGAAAGTTTTTCAACTACCTCTTGAAAGCCCACCTCTGCTCTCCAGGGAGTTGGAATGACTGACACAAGCTGTCAGCTTGCCCAGCTAATGTAAGTGAATTCAACATTCATTGAAATCAGGAGCAGATATCACCAGCTCCATCTGGATTTAGTTCAGAGCTGCAGTTAGATGTTCACTACAGAAAAGCAGTGTCACTATCAGATATTCCTGCCCTGGGGCTGCTTGTTGCAACCCCACAGCTCAGTTGGTGGAAAAGTTCATGTGACTGTTTACCATCTGCTTCAGCGCAAAGTCAGCTGGCTTAATTCAAAGAGCCCTTATTGTCAGCCAGAGGCAAATGCTCCATGGTTGTCTCTGCAGGGCTGTGCCAAAACTACTCATATCAGGCTTGTAACCTCCCTGCAGTTATGTTTCTGACCTTCCCTTGAGACATGGCTGTATATATTCCAAAGCTTTTTAAGTGATGCTGATAAAAATAAAAATGAAATTCTAATGTATGAGCCTAATCAAAAGCACAATGCAGTTCTGGGCTACTTGACTTGAGGCAGCATTCTAGTGTGCCATTTCTTAACAACACAGGGCCTGCAGAGTTTTTAAAAATACAGACACCTGAACAGGTAAATACTGTGGCAAGAAATCCAATGAGCTGCTGTTACACCTTCAACTGCCAGATCATGCTGTATGAGGAGATCTTGTTCCCAGCAGATGTTGCTTAATTAACCAGTGTGTTATCATAGTGTAAAGCAATTCATTCATGCTCATTTAAGAAGTTCTGTCAAATACACACCATAAAAAAAAAATTAAAGGCAGTTGAAGTCAGAATGGTATTAGCAGAAGTCTAATTTTGCAAAGTGGCTGTTCCACATCTAATTACATAAATACAAAAATCAATACCAAAATTGGCATGCACTAGAGAAGAACAGCTGCTCAATCCTGCACACTGTAATGTGATTATTTGTGAAGCATTCAAAAGGCATAGATCTAATCCAGGGTCACCTGTCTAAAGCAGCCGTATTAGATCTGAAAACCTGTCAGTCAGTGGAACTACCACAGTAGCTGAAAAGCAAACGAGCTTCACACTGTGAACTGTGCCTAATGAGGATCCTTCTGAGCATCCTTTTGTCTTGTGGAATTACTGGTACATCACTCCTTCATTTTGTGATGCTTGTATGCTGTACGTATGCATCAGTATTTCTGATGCAGTCTAAAAGTAGCTTTCCCTACCACACTGTCACTTCTCTACCATCTCTGTGTCACAGGTTGTCTGTATATGAAACAGCTAAATGTGTCAAGAGTTTCTCCCCTCCGTGAGCCTCAAGAGTGGAGCTGGGTATGGAATCGGTTTTTGTGTCCTCTAACCTTTTTTATCACGTCAGGACATTGTACTCCAAACTTATGACGGAGTTAAAACCTTAACAAAAAAAAAAATTCCAAATGTTTCATTCAGACACCTCTGGTATCTTATGTTTTAATTCATAGAGCCTAAAATTACAGTGAAATGCAAACTGGCATAAAACTACATTTTGAAAAATGTCAAAATATAACCTTGGATCATCTGCCTTTTTTTCTCTGTTTTCTGTTGGGAAAACTTGTCAAATTCACTTACCTCACAAATATTCATGTTTTTGATAAACTTTCTTGCTGTGAGGAATATATTTCATGTACAAACTCTAACCAGTTCTGCTCTTCATGAAAATCAGGAGTCAAGAGTACAGTCTGAAAACTAACCCAGGTGAGAACCAACTAACTTCAGTGCTAGGAAATTTCTTCTTTGACTTCACACTTTTCACATGTAACAGTGAAGTAAGGATGTATAAATTCCTGAGCTTGTCATAGCACTGTTGTTGCTTAAGAATGTATTGCACATGGCAATTTACCTTTGTTGGATTTTGGTAGTTCACATGAGCCGCTTCCCATCTTTCGCTTTTTCCTCGGAACAGCTGAATTTTTCCTGTCAAAGGTAATAGGACTGTATTGAGGGAGGCTGTTGAATTTCTTTGCAAATTCTTCTTCCAATTTTGCTAAGCTAAATGGGAAACAAAACCAATTAAATTAAATGTAACTCTGTTTCTGGACAAAAACATATATTGTTTAAAAGCATGTGTGAGTATATACACACCTGTCTACATCGAGAGAGGGGGGAAAACAGATAAGCACACACACACTGTTTATGTTTATTAAACCAGTATATATTAATCCAGCTTTGGAATGAGAATGTACACTTCAGCTTCTGCATTTGTAGCTCAGTACAAATTGATTACCTTAGCTGCATATGTTAAAATTAGGAAAAAAAAAATCAATGTCATACTGGTGACATTTAGCTCTGTTTGCTGCACAGATTTGTCTGTTCTGTGAGGAGAATGAACAAAGACAGTAAAACCAATAAATAAACCAATAAAACAATTTCACATTAACGTTCTTACACCAGAATGAAAACATTTCAAACTGGAAGAAAAATGTCAAACTAATCAGTCTTCTGTGAATACTCTGAAACATGATGCTTTGGGGTGGGAATTAGTTTTGTATTTACTCTGGGTGATTATATTTTCTCCCCTCATATTTTATTTGCTGTGAGATGAAAAATGCAGCTAGCTCACGCTTCCATGAAACCCAACATGCCTCATACTTCAGCCCAACCTGAACGACTGTCACTAGCCTGCCTACAACTCATGAAATCCACAGACATGGTAGTACTGTTTCTAATAACCAGATGAAAACAAAGCACTCGAGCAGGATGACTATGCTGGCTTGCATAAGCACTCTGTTCCAGCAAATTTTTGCAGCCAGGCAGGAGTATGAATTGTGTTTTAGTACAGGGTGGTGTGCACAGCTGGGCAGGCTATAAATAGCACCGTCAATGACAGGGGAACAATGACATTTTCTAAATTGTTTTTAATTCTCTTTGCTATGAAAAATCTCAACTAGAAAAAGGTCTGAATGATTGTTGGAGGGATAGCCCTTACACACTTAAAGTGTCACAAGAAACATGGTGCTTCTCTCTGTTCTCTGAAGCAGCACTTCACACAAATTGCATTCTGAAAGCTTTGGTACACAGAGTGATACTTCATTTTATCTCTGTAATCATTACTTCTTTCAGCAAACAAACTTCCATCTTAAAATACAGCCTTGGCTCTTGGCAGACTCTGTGCATGGTGAGGTTTCTGTTTGTGTGTGTACACGCATGTTTTGGTTTTGTTTTAAATCACAAAGGTATCTGACATTAGTGGTGCTTGCTACTGCTACCTTTCTCTTCCACGTGGATTTTCCCTGACAACCTCAAAACCAGCTGATTTTCTGCTCTGACAAGTGTCATGCAATTCCATCCTCTGCCTCAGTTCCTGCCCCAAGGGCAGGTGAGGGGCTGCAGCTCTAATTGGGAAGGCCCAACCCCACCTGACAGCAGATGAGCTGCCATCCTGGCTTGTAATTCATAGCTTGTGCAATGTGGAGACAGTGGGGAGTGCAGCTATCTCTATGTCAGTGATTAATTATTCAAAAAAAATAAAAATCATTCACGTTGTCATGAATTTCCAGAGCATCTCACAGGGCTGGTTAGACACATGTAGCTGAGCTGAGGTCTTCACGCTGTACAGCACTACAGACTAGCCCTGCCAGGGGATACATGCAGGTACAGCACTGCTTGGCAAAGGAGTGGGCTGCACATGGAGGAAGCACACCTGACCCTGACCATCAGGGAAATGCAGGCAACTGCTGACAGAGAAGGTGAGAGGACATGGGGAGAATGACATAGTTCTGAAGGGCTTAGGACCCTTTCACCTACACACACAAAATGAGGTTGAAATGTGATGCTGAAGGGAGCAGAAAGAGTTAAGTGGAGCAGGAAGAGGTAAAACCAGCTCTTCAAGCAGCCAGAAGATCAGGTAATGCAATGAACAGGGATAATGGATACCTTCTCCAGCACTTATGCTTTACAAATTCCCCATTCTGCTTTTACAGAGTTCACTACATAATATTAATTATTTATTCATACAACTGAATAAAGATGAGAGATTGGCAAATATGTATTTCCCCATCCAGCCAGCTAATGAGGGAAGAACAGTGCTTGTTGAATGAATTAATTATTTAGACAATTTTCCTAGCTACTTTGAATAAATAATTTACAACTACTTTTTTTTTTGCTATAAGATGCAATCAGTTTTCACACCATTATGTGTGAAAAGTTTTCAATCGTTCAATTTAAACTTAAAAACATTTACAAAACTAATTCAAAGCACTAAAGAGGTAAGATGTTCCATTAATTTTTCTTGACTATTCCAAGCAAACAAGACTTGGAGATTTTCATCAATTTAATATCTTTGCTGAAAGTGAGCTGCAGCTAAATTTCACATGGACTAGGTTATAAAAAAGGCTACTTCAAATCCGCAAAAGAAACATAAAATTTTAAGCAAGAACTATGGAAATCTACTCCTTTTTAATTAATTTTCACATCTTCAAGAATTTGCAAGCAGGTATGAATAGCTACACAGATTTTAACTACTGTGCCTGAGGTTAAATAAGTCTGCAATACTCCGACAAAAATCATTACTCGTATACTAGAAAAGGAATTCTGTGCAGCCTTGCTAAATTTTAATGCATCTATACTCATTAATTATTTTTAAGATATATTTAACTTCTTCATAGTGTACATAAACAGTTTAAGTATCTTTACAGTGGAAAAATGACATATTTATCATAATTATTTGCCAATGTAAGAACATCGTTTACTATTCCTCTGTAAGCAATCCCTTGAAGCAGGCAAAGAGATCTATTTTTTCTAGTCTAATTTGATTTATGATTAAACACCTACACAGAACTTTAAATACTGCTTGCAAAATGCTTTGAAAACATAAGCAATCCTCTTCACCACTTTTTTGAGCAGGTAAATATACTGTGTGGTTTTTTTAGAACTGAGCAAAATAACATCATTCACATTTATTTACAGTGGTGTAAATCAGGAAAGATCTCAAAAAAATTACTTTGCTATATAAAAAACCCCAGGTATCTAAAGCATGACTCAGTCCAAGAGTGTTTATAATTTTCAGGAATGCTGTCTAATTGTGATTATTTGGGTGTTGGATGCAGTTCACTTGGCTGCAGTGAGGAGGACTCTTAAATTACTAGGCTGACCTAAATAAAACTTTGAACAGTGTTAAACCAAGACTTACCCAAAAACAAACTCTTCCTTTGGCTTAGTCTTTTTCAGCTTTTTGTTCCCACTTGTCCCACTTGGGGAAAAGGCCCAGATTTCTTCATTCCAGCATCCTTCATGATCTGAGGAGTTGCCTTTTCCTGAGCTTCTTTTTCCTGTGACGAAGGTAGAAAATTGTTTCTCATCTTTAAAACAAATGTGCCAAAACAAAGTGGGCTCAGAATAGACTTGTGCACCCATTCACTACTGCAGCTTATGACGCTTGACTTTCTTGAAGGCAGTTACAAAACATTTTTTATTTTAAATTGTGCAGTGATGATATTGGCAAGTATTCAGCGTCCCCTGTCCCTATCCTTCTCCATCCTGCCTCTAAAGCCAGGATCTCTTGAGGTACAAAGGAAGAGAAAGAGATGAGAAGAAGTAAAAAACTTCCCTAAATTACAAACATCTTTTTTCTTTTCTGACTGTTCTAACTGCATATATAAATCTACTAGTCAGAAAAAGACATCCAACTGAAAGCTTCCAGAAATTACCTTAAATTTATCTTTCCAAAAGGTAAAGGGTTCTTGCTCACTGCCTACAGCAAAACTAGCAACCACAGCAAAATAAGAACACATTTGCTTCTTGTAGGGTTGAGAACTATGCTCACAACCACAGGAGTTGTTTATATAGAAACAAGGTAATTGTCCAGGTTGCACAGATCACAGGCCCTGCATACATCTATCAGCAGGCTGACAAATTAACCAACAAAGCCTTCAGTAAAGAAGTTAAATCTCAGGTCATGGAAGACAAAAAGGGAGAGGTTAAGAGTTTGTAAGTAGGAACAGAGATAGCAAGACTTCAAAAGACCTGCCCTGGATCATAGAGTCCAGTCCCTCCACCCACCCCCAGCATCTCAGGTGACCAGACACAACACTCCCATCACACACTGCTAAAACTCCAGCTTAAACATGGACTTCCACTTTTCCTCCCACTCCAGGCAGGCTTTTGCAGTTCATGCTGTAAAACACTCGAAGCCACCCACCTCTGTCCACATTAGCGCGCAGAGATGTGAGCATGCCCTCTGACACCAGAGTTTTATAAAGAGCACCTTTGCAAGATCTCTCTGACTTCCTGGAGCCACAGGTTTCTATCTTTTTAACACAGTCACTGTCCTCAGTTTTGACCTGTTCTGGTAAGCTTTGGGGTACCACCTCCTCTGTCGGGGTCAGTGGTTCCACTTTAATGTTATCAGAAGCCTCACACGGTACTTCCTTGCTGGCTGCAATACTAAGGAAATCGGGAGGCTTTGATTCTTTGGTGGTCTCCATCAGTTTTTCCTTCGATGTTTTCTTCTCTTTCGATTTCACTTTTTTCTTTGGTGATTTTGTATCCAACACGCTTCCCTTCACACTCGAGACAGGGCGGTTTTTTTTGCGGGGAGTATCCGTGAGTCTCTCAGCACCCCAGTCCCCCTTTGCAACAGCTTCAATTGTGTACATTACACTTTCAATGTCTGACTCGGAGGACTGCCTTTTTTTACAAGATTTCTTGGGGGTGGATTTTTCATTTGTGTGCCGGTCCAACTTATTTTTTTTCTTTTTCTTCTTTATTTTTTCCGGCTTTAGCCCAAGGATATTCATGTCACCCAGGAAAAATTCTGGAGAACAGCACATGTGATCCTTTGTATTATCCTTTCTGTCAAAAGGACTGTTTTCCATTGCAAGACTAGTAAAATCTCTGCATTTTGCAGTTTCTGATTCCTCAGTTTTTGTTTCATCCAAATTTTGAATTTTGTCTATCTCTGATTGTTCTACTTTTCCTTTACAGGAGTCTTTTACTGTTGTTTTCTCCAGTTCTACTTCCATTTCCTCTGAAACTTCCCCTCCCAGATCTTCCAGTGCTTCCACTTTTGTTTTCCCAGGTTCTTTCACTTTTACTCCTTCTGAAGCAAGGCACATCTAAAACAAGTTAAAAACAAACCTCATGAAACAAAACATCATCTGTTAACATTACTCATTACTTATATTAACAGGAGCATTAAACAGGGAATTCCCCTGGCATTTTAGTTCAGGAAAGCAAATTGCAAAAGGAAAGTACTGAAAAACATGCTGAAGCCCTACTGACACTGATGCAATGTGATGATGGCTAAGTGCTAGAATAAGGCTGGTGGGTTCTACTGCTCTAACAGAAAAAGACTTCAACTGATCTCAGTGGTGTTTCTACAATCCTTTAAGAGTCTTTTACATAATCTGGAAACCCACTGTTAGACTGATTTTCAGAATCTGTTGTGCAACAGCACAACAGAGTTTTCTCTGACTATTGCCACAGACAAGTTACTTGAGATCTCACATCCATTCCTCCTTCAGCTCTCAAATGTCCCTTACACAATTCCTTCCTCCATTTTCCAAGTGGCTCTGAGGGAGGGAGGGGAAAAAAGTTAATTGAATCTCAGTAATCGAGATTATTTTCTTTTACTTGAATGTGTGAAGTAATTTGGGAGAGTGTACAAAAGCCTTCCTTTCTTCTCATGTCACAGACTTATTTTGCAAAGAACTGCAAAGCAGCACTGGTTGCCATGGTTATCTTCTCCTGGGTTTCCGCTAATGGCAACCAAAATCCTCATACTGTCTGAGGAACACTGATATTCTAGAAAAGAGCTGTAAAAAGGTCCTCAAGCTGCCATGTTCCTGCAGTACTGACTTGGGAGATCCTCTCTGGTTTGGATCACCCGTAAGCTATGCTGACATCGCTACAGAGGGTAGTCCTTCACAGCACCAACCAGTTTGCCCTTGGGAAGACAAGACTTCTTGTTACTCTCCCCTCTCAAAGCCCTCAAGCTGAATTCCCAGTGCTATTTTGGTTTTGAAGCAAATGTCAACTAGTCACCTGGAGCAAAACCAGATGGAAGAGGTTTTCTTTGAACCAAACATCAGAAGTTTCCCACAGATGAGCCCACAGGCCATGTGGTCAGTATGGATGTACCTCCCCCAGATCACTGGGCTTTCTTTAGGTCAATTTTAGATTTTAGACTTCTTGCAAAGTAAAAAAATCTCCTATACCAACCAATATATATGTGAGTATAACAGTGATAAAATGTTTTGCAGTAAGTTTCTGAAACTCTTGCTGCACAGGGTAGAAATTAATGATCTGGTTCAGCTCAAGCTGGGCTGAGCACTGCAAAACACCAGAGCTTGGGCAGTACACAGTGTTTATTAGGAAGCAGGTTAAATTATGCAAAGGAGAACCCCACAACTATGCTGATATAGGTTCTTGGTACCAAGGTGCTTCGTGACTTTTTTACTATGCTGCAATATAAGCACAGCTGGTGATTTCCAAAATCTAAAGATCAATCTTTAAAATGCAGCTCATTGGACTAATAATATTTTGTCAACTCAACATACACATTTGCTTCTTCTGCAGTAGCCAGTAGTATAGAGGCACGGATGTGCCTACAAAAAGATGACTTCTGTTTTGTGAGCTGTAAATAAATCTGTAATTAAACTGTCTTTAAGTCTGGGAAAGCTTAAAAAAGGTTTAGAAATGAAAGAGATGCAAAATTTCAATAAGATGCCACTGGTTTGAACTGCTCCCAGAAGGAAGATCTGCTGAGAATATCATAGCAGAGTTTCTGTAGAAGTTATTGACCTGGTAATTCCCCACTGGAAAAAAACAGTGGGCACAAAAAGCAAAAATAAATGAGAACAGTTTATGATCTTTAATAGGAATTTGTAATGGCAATGCCCTAATTTGAGTAACAGAGTAATCCAGCCCTCTCTCAACTATCTGTGACCCTCAGCCAAACCAAATAGTCAAACCCCATACCCTAAACCAAGAAACTGAATCAAATTCAATGGTGACTGGAAAGTCCCCTTGCCACCAGGAAGTTGTGGTATTGGTCAGCTGCAGCAGACTCTTAGAAACTCTCTCTACGTTGATGGCTAGTCTGGGAAAATCCTGACTTGTGGCAACTGAGCCATGATAACTTATGCTTCTATAAGCAGCAGTGTAATTATAACTGTAGCACTGTTCTGCCTTCCAGACTTCAGCAATCAACAGCATTAATTTCTCCATCCCACTGCACCTGCAGTAATTAGTCACCAGTGTTTCGGTATTACCTCTGCCAGCTGAAATAATGCTGATGTTCCACACTGTTTTGTTAAATCAGAAGGCCCTGAATGGGATGTACTTGAAGAAATCTATGGAGAAAAAAAACCAACACAAATAAAACATTCTTTTATCAGCACAATTCTTTTACATTTATGACACAGCTTTTGAATGGATTGCCCCCTCCCCTTCCCAAAATTAATTCATAAGATTATATACCAAAAAAGAAGTGCAGACCTGTGCATGCCGTTATAAATAAAACCCTGCTCCACTACTGCTCTGCTACCACCGTACTCTAAAAGGTATTTGCAGATTTGGGGTTCTTCTTGTCAGGACGCCCTTTGAAGAGCAGGGTGAACCGAAGCACGTGCTCTCTCACACATGAACAGACTCCAGCAACTAAGCACCAATCTACACCAGCATGCAACCCAGCTGGTGTTTCTGAAGGCTTAGTAGGTCATTTGATTGTAAAATCATTTCACTATCATAGGTTAAGAAGGCTACTCCTTTCAGACTATGGCATTGCCTGTTGCTGTCCTATAAGACCCTCAAGCCTCTGGTACTGCTCAGACTAAAAAGAGGCTGTCATGCAAGCAGGTAGCTTATTATCCTCCAGAATCTGTTTCTTGTATCAGGCTGTGATCCTCGTCAGTACTTTAGAGTGTTTTGTATCAGTTTTGAGCTAGGTGCAAAGAAATGATCTTTTTCTAATCAAATTTAAAGTATCAGTCTCAGGATTGGCCATTAGTATGAACAAAATATTCTATCTTTAAGGACATACTCCATCATCTCTGATCAGGCTTGCGGGTTTCTTACACTTGCTTCCTTAGAAAGTGTAAGAAAATGAAGTTATAAGGGACTGGAGAACTGTAGCATTTTCACCCTTTCAGCTCTCCCTATCCCTCACACTCAGTATTCATTGCTCTGAACCAACACGGGCCCACAAAGTCAACTTTGCAGAATTCAGCCCATCATTGCCATAAAGCAAATAAACAAAATCAAATGCCATCCCTACATCTCCTGGAAGCTGTAACTCTTCACAGCATCTCCCAAGCTCTGACCATTACAGTCCAAGTCTTCAAATGTTGCTTATAGCCAAGTGTTATTAGTGCTCTGCAGCAGAATTGGCCTCCTTGCCTTGTGGAGGTGATGCTCAACCCCACCACTGACTCCCTTCACTCTCATGCCTCCACTCTGAAGCCTAAAGACAGAGCAAGCATTTGGGCACAGCAAGAGACTCTGCAGAGCTGATCAGCAACAGCCTCCTAGGCTGCAGAGTGGAAACTCAGAAATCCTCAGGATTTTTTAGGAAATAACTTAACCCACTTCTGCATTTTATTTTAATCACCATCTGTGAAATGCTGAGAAATACCAAAAAGGAAGGCACAAAGAAGAGGGGAAAAAAAAGAAAATAAAATTGGTTAATCCACACAGTGGAAAGATGAAGGAGAAGCAGAACAGTATGGTGTGCTGAAGAAGACAGGCTCCCACACACCATGCACTTGCCATGCCAGCAGCATGGAGACATCAGTGCAGTCCCCTCCAGTGCACAGCACCTGCAGTTTGGAGTTACAGTGGCACAGCACGGCTCTGCCAAATCAACTTGCAAACCTAAGACACCCTTGAGGTGATAAAGAACACAGTTTATTTGGGATGCTCCAAATCAGGTCCTGAACTGTTATCTGAAAACTTAAGCTGAATGTCTCTTAGATTTTATTTATCCAATTATAATCCAACATTAGAGATCCCCAAAACTGGGGGGGAAAAACAGAAAAAAAAGAAGAAACAAATCAATAGCACTAATGTCCTACAAGAGCTAGAGACAAGGAGGATGTGCTTAGCACATCTGCCATGCTTTTCTCTGTTTGAATCAGAGCCTTTAACATTCATTTTGTGTATTAAATTAGGCTTGCAAGAATCCATCTGAGCAATCACTGAGAGATTACACAAACCTGTCCAACATACACACGTCATGCTGCCAGACTTAGCTTCACTTTTTCTGCCACCTGCAGTACAAACTGTGCACTCCCGCGGACAAGCACCTGTCCCTCCCCTAAATTAGGGCTTCACAGTCACATCACACTTCTAATGCTGATTTCCAAAAATCAGACTGCACTCAGCAAAAGCCTTACTCCAGAACAGCACTACCCATAGCCTGCTGCTGTCCTGTAAGGGGATACCTCAAAAACCTCTGGTGTCCCTGACTAAATATTATCTGCCCTTCTGCTGTCCCAGGGCTCCACCAGCCAAACACCCTTATGGATCACTGATTACAGTTAGGTGTAATCACCCTTGCACAGTCACTGCTGACAACACAGCACATATTCACAAACTCTACTACTGCCAGGGGCTGCCTGCACGGTAAGGCAGGTTTTCTTCCACTCATTTAAGTTCCTATAAAGTCAGATAGTTGCATTACTATCCATGGAACAAAGCGTGAAATACTTTTATTTCAGTGCTTCCAACATCTGCCTTTTTTTTTCCTGAGAGGGAAGCAAGGATATAGGACTGGATATCCTTCCTCACCAGCAAGGATATAGGGCTGGATGTCACTAGACAGAATCCAGAAAACCATTTTCCTCACTGAAATAGGATGTGGTTTTGAAATACAAAAAAACCAACAGAAAACAAGCAAAAAAAAAAAAAAGTGTACAAATAACTTGCTACCATATTCCCTTATTTAACTGGAATACAGCATGTATCTTCATCTTTCAAACATCATGAAGAATAGTATTTGCACATCAAGCCTCAAAGGGTTTTGAGTGAATCATCCGTATCAAAGAGGAGACCTCTACAAGGTTATATTTAAGACTCACAGGGAATTTCTAGGACTTTTGGGAAACCTGATCCAGCATTCTTCATTACCACTGACAGCTGCCAATTTCAGAACTTAATACATTGCATCAACTTCCAGTTCTTCATACAGATTTCTGATGACCTCGAAGTCTACTTTGCTTTTCCTATTCTCAGTCCCTGATTAAGCAACGCACCTTTCAATCCTTATAACCGAGCTTTACTTTTTTAATCCTGGTATCCAACTCCTCATTAAAAAGAATGCTGTTATCTCTTGTCTTTGCTATTGTCCTGTGCACTGTTTTTACTGTAGTTATAAAGCTAATTTTTCTAAAAGGAAGTGTAACTTTTTCTGTGCTGTCTCCAAGAAACTATGCACATTGTACATAAAGGTGTATAAAAACCCCCTAGGTCCCTGGGGCCATTGCCACTGCCTAATTCTCCTGCTATTTCATTACTTACTCATCTATGTTTCTGGAAATACCAAATTTGATTCTAGAGCAAACCTTACACATAGGTTTTTTTGGGGAAAAGATACACACATCTTCCCATAGTGATGCTACTGGGTATCACTTTACCTCTGCCAACTGGAAGAGTGCCGACTTCCCACAGTGCTTTACTGGCTCAGGACTTGGCAACTGGGAAGTATTTGATGAGATCTAGGTTACAAATGAACAGAAGAGAAAATATTTCAGTGGCACACAGGAAAGACAGTAAGGAAGGGAGAAAAAGAATGAAAAATTAAGGGGTTAGTTATATCAGTCACTTTTACATCCTTCTGGCAAAAGGCCCTACTTCAGATAGACAATCTCATCCAAGAAACACTTAACAGGTATTTAGAAGACAGTGCAATACAAGCAAAACCAGCATTTCTTCCTTAGATTAGGTTAATGGATACTGAATCTATGTTTGTACTGTCCACAGCTAATATTCTAACTGCTGTGAGTTTTATGTGTGTTTTATGTGACTAAGTGAACAAGATATACCTGCCACTTGAAAACATGAACTGTGGTGGTCAAGGTTAAATGAAATTCTCCTGGAAGGTCTGGGCAGTATTTCCCATTTAGTCAGACATAGAAGAGGACCATCTGTCCTCACAGGCACTGCTTGTTTCACTTTCTTTAGTTAGAAAAAGGAAATAAGACCTTATGTCTGGAGATCAAATCTAGCCTTCCAAATAGCTGTTGGTGTACCACCACCAGCCCTGAGTAAATAACTACTGCCACACTTCAGGCAATTGCTTTTACAGTCAGATTTCTTCACATATGCTTCCAAGTGCAGCACTGTAAGTTCACCAATGCAAGAATTAATAATTATTTATCAGATTTGACCTTTTTTGGCATGGCATTACATGGTAGTATTTGACCTGGAAGCCTTGAAAAGCCTTGGTGCAAGATCTCCAGTGTGTCCATGGGATCTGCCTCATCACAAAAATCACACTCAGCATCATGACTGGGAAAATAGTGACAGGGCAATGGTTTTGAACTGAAACAGGACAGTTAATGTTAGGAAGAAATTCTTTTCTCAGAGGGTGGTCAGGCATTGGAACAGGTTGTCCTGAGAGGCTGTGGATGCCCCATCCCTGTAAGTATTCAGGGTCAGGTTGGATGGGGCCCTGAGCAACGTGGTCTAGTGGAAGGTGTCCCTACCCATGGCAAGGGGTGGAATGAGATGGGCTTTAAGGACCCTTCCAACACGAACAATTCTATGGTTCTATGATCTTTCAGATGCAAAAATTATCAGCTCTGACTTTCTCCTTATATTTATTTCTTTCTTTTGAACTAGATTATTTGAAGAATTTACCTTTCAATTGTCAAAGAGATTTATTACACTCCCCACTCATCCCCCTCCACAAAATCCAGGACATTCATTTCACTTCAAGCTATTTAAAAGTACAGTGAATAATACCCAAATGTGAACTAATAATAATTTTTAATATTAAACTAAAATAATTCAACATTCTAGTTTTGCTTTGAGACTGTTCAGTGAACCTGCTCAGGTCCCCACTGAACTAAGTGATCTTGTACACTGCACTTTGCAGGAAGACGGTCTCAACTTTTTAATCTTTCTACCATAATAAATTCTCACATCTTAATGATTTTTTCAGCACAATATGAATGGCAGAAAAGGGACAGAATAACACCCACACACTGAAGTATAGCTTGAGAACATACAGGCGTATCTTGCCTCCTGATGCACAAACTGAGGACAGAGCAAGGAAATTTTATCAAGACAACAGGTGCTCCTAACAAAATATGAGATCCTTGTAGTACTAATAGAGAGTAAGCCAAAAATTCACTTCAGTGGAAAAAAAAATAAATAAAAATTTCAGAGTTAAGAAAACAAACTGCAAGTGACATAACTGTGTAAGTCATTCTGCTGAAGTTGCTGGCCAAACATCAGAAGGAGGAGGATGGCTGATCAATCAGCTCTCAGTGAGATTACAGATCCCACTCCCTGTCTTAACAACATCTTCCAGCTTTAATTAGAATAATCAGAACCTGCAGTACTACAACCACAAATAGCCCCTTGTTATGTAGAGATTTAAGTTGGGGGATCATTAGAATCAAGTTACTATCTTTTATTACAATGCAGGTATAATTTTAGCTACTATATTATATTTCACCTTGCATAAGAAACACGTGCCATGGCACCACAATTTTATTTCCCTCCTAGAATAGGCACTGCACTTCAATACAAACATTTAACAATTTCAGCATATGGGCAAACAGCAAATACATTCATTTTTATCTGGGAAGATTACAGCTTTCCCTATGGGAAAACTGGAAGAGAAGACACGGATTAATTCTTTGACCAAAAGTTTTGGATTCAAATCTTCTGTTTAGCACAGAAATAAACAGAAGAAACTGCCTGCAAGCCTTCTCAAAGTGAGTATGTGAGAATGCAGAAGGGACAAAATCACCCCCAAGCATGCATTTTTTCTTAAATGATAAATAAGCTGCTGGACTAGCAAAAACAAATCCACCTTGTTGCATATCGCATGTGATTATTTTTTTTTTATTAAATCACCTAGAGAAAAACTTAAGAAAAGCTGCTGAAAGCAAAGAGTTTTGGGGGTTTGGATTCATTTTGTTTTTAAGATGGCTGAACTAATAATTTTTCTGCTTCCACTCCTGGAAGCCTTTTCTTTGTTTAATAACAGATGAGAGTTTAGCTAAGTAAATCCAAGAGGTACTCTTGTTTCCTCTCAATGAAGCAATCGTCACCATCTGTTCACATTTGCCAAACACATACAGTAAGACCAAGAGAGCAAGGGGTCCCATCTGCTCTGCTTCCCTCACATGGCAAGGAGGATGACAGCGACCAGCCCATGTGAGCAGACAGCTTGCAAACAGCCACCACGCTAAGGAACACAGCTCACCGCTCAGCAACCACTGGCCTATATAATGGCTTTCCATAAAGGTACAAATGAGAAGGACAATAGTAGGGCCAAGTATTTGCAAGATCAGAGCAGCATGAGAAAGCTGGAAGTGTAACTTGGCAACGCTCCAAACTTCAAAAAAACTCTTACGAGGATGTCACATCACCTTTGAAGACCTCCAAGGCACTTGCCTGCACACCCGCAAGACCCAACAAAGTCTTGCTCCCAGGATTTTCATCATCTGTAGTGGCAAGTCACTGGGCAGGCCTCATTAGCCATATCCTCAACAGCTTTAATTGACAACTATAGCACTTGGGACAGACAACCAGATGAAAGACTAAGGCTGTAAAGACAAAAAGAATCCCACCTACTCTACATAAATCGAGTTGTTTCTGAGTGACAGGGGACTTGTACTCTGGGGGTAAAGGTGTCCATTTTAAATGACAAATCTACTCAATGGGATCACTGTCTTCACAAAGAGGCACTCTTACTCACCCATCTGCAAAGGCGTTGAAGAGAAAGGGAACATACGAAGAACACCCAGCCAGAACCAAAACTGAGCTGGGATGGCTGCCAGAAGTCTCCAGGCACATCAGACCACAGCACACTTCACATTTCTTCACAGGTCTACTTGGCTACTGGTTAAATAACTACTTTCTCTCCCTCTGTTTTTCTTTTGTAGCGCTGTACATTGCTGACAGCAGCCCACTGCAAATTGCTTGCCATAATTTAGCTTACTAAATGCAGTAATGCATTCATATAGACAGGACCCAGTAGGAAATGGAACAGTAAGGAACAGGGACTCTTGCCAAACTTGACAAAGACAGCCTGTGCAAATGAAAGTCCTTACATTTGATCAAGCACAAGCAGCTTTAATAGTGGGGGAGAAAGCTTAAAGAGGTTCTGTAATATGCTCAGTACCTTCCCCTGGAACAACCTAAATGAAATCAGGCTGCAAGCTTAGAAAAATGCCATTTCTCAACTGCTACAGATAAAACATCATGTTCATCACTGCCATTAATGTTTTACGGGAGGAATAACCATGGCCAACAATGTGGGCTTTTTCTGTTCTCTTTTCTTTTTCAGATTTCTGTCCCTTATTTCTAGCCACAGAACAAACCAAACCCCTCCAAACACATTTAAACCCTTTTACAAGAAAAAGAGATTAACTCTGACTCTAAAATCAACCTCAGCAAATTCTAATAAACTTTCTAAGCACCTCTTCCTCCTAACATTTTATGATTCATATATGCACTCCAATGTGCAAAATGAGCTGGCTCAGCGTAGTGGCATGTAACTCAAAGCACTGCCACATCCATATGACAATTTTCAGGTTTGTTATTTTGTTGTTTGTTCAATCAGAGATTTAAGGTTCTGTGAAATTCTGAAAGTATGGCTAAGCACGTCGCTTAGCCATACTTAGCTAACCACTACAGACGTTTTACATGACAATTTAAGAATGTTGTACTAAATGCAGTACATACCCTGTTCAACTCTGCAGATATCCAAAATTGGTGTTTAATTAAAATGTAAGATGGTTAGTATTTTTAAAACTAAGTTAGCAGATTCATTTGTGCAATATTTTGCAATAAAATTTACAAGAAATGTTCTACAGCATATATCTTTTAACTTGGTTTAAAAGGCACATATCTTTACCCTGCTCAATTCCACTAATAATTTTCTCAAAAGATTCCAAATTGACTTGTAACTTTAAAAAAAAAAGGTGATACTCATGATTAAGAGATATGAACTCTATTGTATCTTTTGCAGAGGTGTTTGTAGTCAGGTATTTTAAGGCACCCAAATCAGTAAATTGTTTCTTCATTGGGCCTCCTGAGAAAAACACCAAGGCTCATTCTAGCTAAGCTAAAAACACACAGTGCACATTAGCTTAACATTTCACTGAAAGAAGCGTGTTGTATGTAGTCAAACCTCTGTAAATACACAGAATAACAAACAGGGTATCTTTTAATCCCATTATGCTCCTCTGCAATAGCATCAGCTCCAATCCCAAACTTTTCAGAGACACACTGAATATACCTGTACCATAGTTGATTCTGCAAGAAGTACCAGACTCCCCCAAATGGGCAAGAAGAGTATATGTGTGGAAACTCAATTCACAGAGAAACATTCAATATATGGGCAAAGAAATTCTTAAAAGCAATGTTTAATGAACTCCAAATCTTCAATATGTGGAGGAAGGTGGATAGGTTATATACTTATGGGTAATTTATAGGTTTGATAAGTCACCACCTAATGATGCTGTTAAATATCCTTGTAGCTGTTGTGATAAGCTTCCTTTGACCTGCAAGGATTCTTCAAATGATCCTGCCTCTAGGGCAGTTGCTATTTTGCACTGCTGCAGCCTCTTCCACAGGCAGTGCTTAGTGTAATTTCAGAATGTCTTTTAATTATTGTTTTCCTAGATGTAAATTAAAAGGCCATTTGGAAAACATGTCTGCAGTGATCCTTTGGTATGGAAAGCTAAGTAATGTTCACAAGCCCAGTATCTCTCATATATGCTCCAGCTGGTACAACTGGCCAACATCTTGTCCATTCTGCCCAGGATTTTCTTAACACAATGGTGAAGAAGACAAACATCGACTGATGAGAATCCCTTGTAAGACAGGGTGCTTAGCCATTCAGTGACAACTCTTACCAGTTCCTTGCTTCCTCCCATCCTCCCCCACCGTATTCAGCCATTATACCTCAGCAAACTGAAACAATGCGGACTCCTCCGTTTGTTTTACTGCCCCCGGGACTCCAGGTTGTGATGTGTTTGAAGAGATCTGTCAGGAAAACAATTATACTTGCATTACCTAACTCCTCAGTTTCAGTATCAAACTTCAACATATTAAATTTCTGATCCATCACACACGAAGGCTCCTGGTATCCAAGAGCAAGCAAACGACCCCCCAGCACATCCATACAACAATCTGCTTTCCAGGAGGCAGGTAAATAGGTGATCTGTGAAATGGTAATCTTAAATTATTTTTCAGAAGGAAAGCCTTTCCTAGGATCAACAAAACAGGCTTTTTTGAAAGGCTTTTATTTGCTGGCTGATATGTCAAAGGAGGGTTAGCAACAAAAACTTAACACTATATTGTATTTCACAGTTCAGTGAAAGACCTGAGACTGCAGAATAGTGGTGATGACAGAGCACAGATTGCTACTTTGCACAGAAGGTAAGTGTGGACAAGGACACGTGTGCAGGTATTTTGAGATACCAGATCTATCCCAGACACTAAGGTAACTGGCATTTCATGCTGCTTAACTTGTGCCAATTAGTTTTATTGCCAATGACACCTCTGATTAATGTTAGGCCTTGGCACAAGTACTAATTATTTTGCCATTGACACACACACACCTGCAATGCACTTGTTAGGTGCACCCTCACTACAGGCTGTTTAACATCCTAGAAAAGTAAGACTAGGTAATATGCATTGCTAATTCCTGGTCATCAGTAAGGTACTTCTAAATCACAAGAGCTTGTTTCTTGGCACCCAATGAAATTTTTCTTCAATAGGTAAAGACAAGGGCTTGTGACCACTGGCTTAGCAAGAGCTTATCTGGCAGCACAAAACACAATTTCTGCCTACTACCACATGGATCTGGCACTTCCCTGCTTCAGCACTGTAAAATGAACTGAAACAATTAGGCAAGCTGGTATTGTCTTATTTGTCTTACTCTTTAAAAGATTCAGCAGTGAAATTCAAGAAACAGACCATTATCAAGAAGTACTATACAATGTATGACATTGCTCTACTGACAGTGTAAGTGTACAGAAGCATCTCAGAAATACTGGAAGATGGATGTTGAGTCATTACCACAGAAGTGTTATAAGTGACGCTGGAATTAACCAATTCTAAGAAGCTTCTAAGTATTGCTTTTTATTGCTGGCACACCAGGCCTTTCCTCTACTTAACAAGAAAAGCCAGCAGGCTGTTTAAGAGCCTAATTACAGGTTATTTACTTAACTCTGGCCATTACCTTTAATCAGTAATAAAGGATCAGTGCTCCAATTTATTTCTAATAAATTTTGAAAGCCTCAGATCTTAAATTGGAACTCAAGTTCTTGTGCATTAATGTTAAAACAAACAAACAAAATTATCATATTTTCTGTGTGTTAGGATTGCAATGTATCTGGTCCATAAGTGATGGCATTTAAGGAGGAGTATGAAGGAGCACATATCAATGAATATTAAAGATAAGGGAGTCAGATTCACAGCTGGTGTGGATACAGATAATAAAAAGAAGCCCCGGCTATGACAAAATTTCTTTCCGTATGCAGTTAAACACCACCCAGTGTCCTGTACAATCACTATTTATGCAGGTAAATATTTCTATGTCATTTGACTATTTCAAAACTTGGAATGATACAAACAAGTGATGCTTGCAGATGGCCAGGATTCCTTGCAACCTTATTTTTGTTGTGTTTATATCAATGAAACCCACTAACACTCGGCTGAAGCAGTGTACACTTTAAAGAAAAAAAACCACCACCACACTGCAGTTGCACTTCTAGCAGTAAGTGGAATATGTTGACAAAAACATTATACATTGCAAAGTTAAAGCATCGTTGTATAGAGCTATTTGGTGGTTACAGAATAGAAGAAAATTTTTGAAATTCCAGAACTACAGAAGCTGATGACTAAAGCCACCACAGTAGATCAGAAACATAATGTAACATCCAAATACACATCTTAAAACTTTAGTTAATAAGGTTCTAGTTTAAAACTAAGTGCAGGAATGACATATCTCTAAATTAGAGCTTAGCCCACAGCTCCATCATTGCACTAGGGTTTCCACTACGCTCCTAAACACACTCTCCGCACTCAAGTCTGACCTACCTATCTATGATAGCTCTGACCTGCCTATAAATGATTCAATAGCATAAATCCAAAAAGAAGAAACAAATAAAAGCACAAATTTTATTTAAAGAATTTTGATTTTTCTTTCAGCTGAACATCAGATGCTTCCTAAAAGGAAACACTTGGGAAGAAAACCCTTTTTAAAGAAACTCACCTCTGCAAACTGAAACAATGATGACTTCTGACAGGCTTCTGTAGAATTAGTTGCATCAGACTGGCAGGTGCTGGAGGAAACCTGAAACAAGGGGTGTGCAGAGTAAGACCTCAACAGTGTTTCTTTCAAGCTAAGAACAACAGTGAGCAAAATAAAATAGAGCATTTAAGAGAAAATGGACAAGCTAATGTTTCACAGTCCTGGAAAGATTAAATCATATTTATAGATGAAAATATAGGTTAGCACTCATTTTAATGCATTTGAAAATCATCTAAGAAGAAAGACTACAAAAAATACCAGTTTTTTTCTTTCATAATTCTGAACTTGTCAGAATAGTTTTATTGAACAGAATACTAAACGGATTATATTGGGCTACACACTCAACTATCTTGTACTGGTGATGCTATCAACACTGCTATATCTGTAGTTGGTGCTATCATTCTGAATAAGAAGATTATCTAGAAGGTAAAAAATGTTTTGAAGACACTCAGAGTTGCTAAGTGATGGAAATACTTATTAGAAAAATAATTCCAAATCTTGACAGCATGAAAGTAAGTAGATAAGGGGAGCCCAAGCCTAAAATTGCTAAAATAATGTACCTAAACGTCCATTTTAGGGGTGCTTTTGAGAAGCAGTGCAAGAAAGAGTCATAACACCTGAAATCAAAATACCAAAAACTGACTGTTCAAAACCAAAAGCCTTATTTGAATTAACACTGAGCTTACCCATACTATTTTCATTAGCTAGAAATGTTTTAATCAAGCCTCATTCTGTAAAGGATCTCTATCAAATATGATATATTCATTAAGTATCACATTTGAGTGTGAAAGATGTACATATGTAACTCCTAGGAGCATAAAGTACCTTTAATATAAAACAAGGTGTGTAACATGGCTTTTAAGAAACAGAAGAAAAGGAAGGAGGCTTTGTAAGATTTCAGGAAAAGTTACAGAATGGAAATTTTTTTCCCTAACAATTTTTACTTTTTCCACAAAACTTCAGTTTATTTAAAACACTGCAATGCAAATGTGGGAGGTTTTTTCTCTTATTTATTACCGAAACAAGTATATCAGTAGCTTTTACTGGTGAATGCAAACCAGATATAGCTACCAACTGCACCTTTTGCTGGTAAGCACGTAGCACCACAGAAAATGCAGACCTACATAACGTGCTGTTTGCACTGCTGCTGTTTGTCTGAGATGCTTAAGCACTGCGATAGCACCAGTGGTATTCTGCTTCAGGAATCTCCTACCCACGCTCCCTTGAAAACACTAAATCTGAGTGTAGTGACCCACAGGACAAGGGGAACTATACCAACACGACAATTTGCTTGCTTGTTTCTTCCCTGCCACAAAACCAAGCAGCACCAGTGACTCCTATGATCTATATTTCCATTATATTTATCAAACACTGAGAAGGATGTTTTATCAGCATACTGTGGAGTATACCAGCCCAAAGGGTTACAAAGAATGTATCTTTAATGCCTGTCTTGCTTTTTCAATGTTTCACTGATGTAATGTTTGTTACTGATTTTTCTCATGTTTCTGTAGGATCTGTTTAAAATGTCTGTGCCTCAGCAGTGGTCAGGATTGTTCTGGGAAAGCATCTTGCTGCTGTTGAGTGACCCATCTCTGCAGGTCTGAGACTCTGCAGTGGTGTGAAATATGTAAGGTTGCTGCCTGCATGTCTGAGCACTCATTTGGTTATTTTAGGCCACTTCACTGGCGGGATTCTCCCAGGAATAACCAAATTTGGGGTTGGTTCCCCATATAACTTAACTTTTCTGCCTTATGTAGCTTAGCTTGCAGGGTCTACTGAAGCAGTTTGTTCATAAGTGGAGCCTTTCCAATGCACCACACAAAAGGGCACTACTTTGCTTAGGAGAAGCCACATGAAAACTCCCAGCTCCTGAGGTGGGCACTGCAGGACCACACATTCCTGAACTCTGCCCAGCTGCCCATACAGACACTGTGGCTCCACAGCTCCCTCTGCCTATCCAGGGCCATGTCCACCGGAACATGTCAATACATGCCTGAGACGGCACGGCACAAACCAGCTCTGGGTTAGGAGCCATTGACCCACGGACCCCAGGAGCACCGTGCTGGAGTGGAGATGCCCTCCCAAGGGAGGCTATCCTGGCTCAGCCCCTGCAACACCAGGGCTGTAAGACATTCCCTCCCTGGGCAGGAGTAGGGGGAAAACTGCCTCCTCTCGTGCTGGGGGTAGGCACAGCTTGTTCACTCTGTGGTACAGGAACCACTTACTGTGGAAGATGAGAAGCCCAGATTTCTATAGATTTGTGTGTAAAGGACAGATTGCTGGTGCACAGTAACTCAGAGGAGATTTTATAGTTGGAACCACTACACTTTTCCTATCACTTCCTCTTATTCTTTAAAAAGTTAATGCTGTTGCATTTGCTTGACAGAGAACTAATTTGAGCTTGTTTCTTCTACTCTGCTGCTCCACAAACACTCTCGACTTGTGGGAAACTTATTATCTCCAGGACTTCTAACCTTTGCCAGGCTGAACCTGATCAAAGCATTAAAATAATTACCAGAGGGAAAAGATGCACAGATAGTGCCATTTGGTATGTCTCATTTCCTGCCGTAATAAAATGTTCTCAACATCTCATTGCTTCTCCTCTTTCTTCCTCCCAGCTTTCCCTCAAGCTGCACTGAAAGATTTTTCACTTCTGATTTACACCTTGCGCAGACCTGGCATCACATGCAAGATAACCTTTTGTTTAAAAAAGAAGGAAACCACAAGAATAACACCTCTGTGGCCTTCCTTTCCCTCCAGGGTACCGTAACCTGCTCTAAAATGATCACACCAAACAAAGGCGGAGGACAGACCCTAGGACAGCCCCTGGCTCACCTGCCACTGCCTGATGTGAAGCTTTAATGCTGTCCCGATGTGGGACAGGAGTCTGCTGCTGGGCAGTGGAAAGCCTGGAAACTGGTAGAAGAGACAGGTTTTGGACCACACTATGAATTTTGGGATTTCTGGGCAGTAACCTACAGAGAGGCCACTAGGTGCTGCTGTAAGGCAAGGAAAGGGCCCGACGGACCAGTAAGGGAGGTGTGCAGGGAGGCAAATGGGCAAGCAAGGAGCGCTGCTCAGCCAGCTTCGGCAGTCCTGCTAATAACCTGCGGTGAGGATCAGGCTCTGCCTGGCACAACAACAGCAGCTGGAACAGACCCGTCTTTGCTCAAGTGTTCAACAAAATACACTCATACACACACCACAGTCTTGTGACCCAAAACCTAGGTGGAAACTCCCTGCATACCCAAATCCTTTGTCTACTTGCCCTTAAGGTCTGTAGCTTCTCTTGCTTATCTGCTTAGTAACTCCAGCTGCTGCCTAGAAATCAATTATATGCCAACACCGAATTCTGTTAGTAGAAGAAAAGCTCTCTAGTCTACTGAAAAAAATAACAAAAATAGGAACACACCGAGAGATGGCGACTGAAGCCTCAAAACAATTCCGTAAATATCACTGTTGTGCCTCTTCCCATCCTCCTGCTGGCAGGTCGCTTTGTTACCTGACATCTGGGCTTCCGACAACCCGGAGATTAAACACCTGACTTGAAAAACCCCTATACATCCATTTAGCATAATCCTGACAGAACATCAGCAGGTGCTGAAAATGTTTACACGGGATTAATAGACAAGTGCACTGTCCTTCATCTTCTCCCAGGTTCTGAGCAAAACTATGCCAGTGCCGCCCTCCTCTCCACTAACAACTTTTAAGATGACAATGGTATTTAAGGCATATGTTACAAGGCCACCCAAGCCTGCATAATCACACATATGCACAGAAGTCACACTGCATTTTGACAGGTAATTTTCTGCTGGCAGACTTCCAGTTTAAGAACCATATATATGCATGTGTATCTTAAATGTATACACGGGTTTTAATGATAATGAAACCTACGTGATATAATTCAGAGCACTCTTTTAAAAATGACAGTGCCCATCCTTTTATTTTTTTTTAAATAGGAATGCCAGGGGTTTAGATGTACAACATGTATTTATATACTTACATGCAGATAACAACAATACATATATTCTCCATAGTTAACCAACTTCTGAACCTCTGCACTAACCATACCTCAGCAGTCACCTCAGTACACCAAATTCTCTGCCATGTCGATACCAACTCTAAAGCAATACAACTGACCCCTCTCCACTGAAGAGCAAAGCAGCTCATCAACTCCATGATGAATTCTTGAGCTTCTTTCTGAGCCTGTCAAACCACGTCCTAGCATGTTCTGCTAACCTCCCAAACGCTGGTTGGAGCGTAAACCCATAAGCATGGAAATCCAACCACAGATTCTCATAAAGGCAGGCAAAGATGAACATCTTACGCCTCCTCTGTCCACATGCCCGACAGTGGGAAGACAGAAGAGCTGTTCAGTTATTCAAGTCTAAATAGGTTTAGCATCATTACTGCATTTCAGAAACATGGGCCTAAGAAATATTTGCTCTGTATCTAATCATTGCTGAAACACAACGGAAAGCAAAATGGAAGACACATCAGGGCTGCCACACAAAAGAAACTGAGAAAGTTTCCCAGCACATGCAAACACAGCTGGAGACTTAATTCCTGCTAACACGTGGGTAGGAGGACTCAACTTCGTTCATTTGGGTCCCTTTGAGAATACCAATCACCCAGATTGTTCTGGAGGATGTATTTTACAAAGTGGACCCTCAAAAAGGATTGGAGATGTGCAGTTTCCTGGGAAAGTGCTCTGTGGCTTACCTGCTTCTCAGAGAGGGTAGTACAATTAAAATAGTATAACTGATTAGTACGGGCTAATTTATGGCCCCACTGTGATTCTAAGCACAGCCAACAAGTCCCTCAACTAGTTTTGTTCAGGCTGTATTTATGACAATAATTTTGCTCCCCACTTTTGGGGAAAGCAGATTACACAGCTTGCTTCTTTGATGTGGAGAGCCAGGTTTCAAAAGAAGACTACAGGCCCAGAAGAGCACAGCAGAGTATAGCTTACACATAAAGTGAATATTACATCACAAGTCATATTGCACACTCCTATCAGAAAAAATGAGGTTTATGTAGGCACACGGGAAACATGTCTTTTGCTCAAAAAAAAAAAAAAAAGTTCTGATTAAAAAAATATCCAAGTACTAAAACAATTGCACGGCATTCTCTCTGATTTGTCTCTAAATCTACAAGTAGATTTTATTCCTTCACTACCACCTGAAATCATATTACTTGAGGTTATTATATAAAATGAAGAAAACTCAACTCACGAAGACCTTTCTTAATGGAACTTAGTATCTGTGACTACAATATACCTTCCCTTACATTGAAATGTAACAGCATAGTAAAAACAGTTTTTATGCTCCAAACTGAGAGATTACAAGTTTGAAAAGTACAGGACAGAATCGTTTTAGAACAAGGAATACATTTCTTTTCACTTCTTTGCCAACTTGACACTAGTGTTTCTGCAGCACAGAAGGCCAGCAGCCACACCTGCACAAAAACCTCCATGGCTCAAACTGGTGTGCAAAGCATTGAGGAGTCTTGGTGGTAGAGGAACAACCCATCTCAAACACACTACACATTTTCCATTTGGGGGTATCACGTGTAGATTAAGTTAAACCTTCCTCACTTCCACTGCTCTTTCCAGGCTAGAGATTCATGGCAGTGACTACCTATTTTACCCAACATAGAAGTTGCTTTTTGAACAATTTCCAAAGCTGGCCTCAAAAACAGATCATATTACTAATCAATATAAAGAAAGACCAGAGGTCTCTGCACTACTGGAGGTATGCAGGCACACTTATTTACTAGACTCCTTTGTAAAAATATAAAAAAAGTTTGTGATTGCAACTGAACTACAAACTTCTTTTTAGATATAAAGACTTAGTAAATAGGAGTAGACTGCAATACTTTGATTACCTCCTAGCACTTGCATGGTTTCAGAATGCCTATACAATGACATTGACTGTATGGAAGTTATTAGGTACTTATTTTGTTGTTAGTGCCAAGGTCACAGTTGTGTGAGGCATTACAAAAGCATATAAAATCCTTGCCTACAAAAGCTTGCAAATCACCTGTTTGTTAACACAGTCACAGTATTTCAAGCCTTCTACCTCTGGCAATATTCTTTCATAGGGTACACTTGCCTGGTGTGATCAAATATTCAGTCAGCAGAGTTAATACAGAACTGATACAAAAACTGGACTCAACTACATTCACAGTTGGGATACAAGATTCACACTTCAGTCCCACCTGAGGTTACCTGAGATGTGTCCTAAATTTCATTCCCCACTGTCAAATACTCCTGTTATGAGGCCTCTTTAAACTGAGGTCTCGTGGTAAGGGAGAGAAGAAAGTTCCTTACCTCTTGTGCAGTAAGTGCATGTTCCCCTGCTAGAAGCAGCATACTTAGGCCTCCCATTTGTGTAGGATCTGTTAAAAGAGTAAAACCAAGTCTTAAGTTGATTCATTTGCTTGTTTAAGAAACCTACCACTTGCAGCATTAAACCCCCAGAAGACTACTTGTCACAGACACTCTAAGCAAGCTGCCATAAAAGGCAGTTCAAGAGAATCACAAATAACCATTTCTGTACCCTCTGGGAAGGCTTTCAAAGCTGTTTGAAGGATTTAATTGGATTTGTGTGCTTAACACCCCATTGCGTGGATTTACAATTTTACTGCCAAAGGTTTTATGTACTACAGAGATGAATATCTTTAAAACAGCAACTGTAATGATCTCATACATAAATATACACAAAGATGCACATGTTTATAACTCAGTGGATGCTCCTACCAAGGGATTGGTTCCTTCTTTAGCCACCGAACAAATTAAAAGATGGAACAAAACAACACGATCAAGCTCAGAAGCAAAATTTCTATTTTCATTTGTCTTTAATTTAGAGCTGCATTTAGTGGCGAAAAGTGCCAGCCTGACAGCTCTGAAGCATGAAGCGCTTGATCCTCTGTGCCAGAACAGCACAGGCACTGGCCAGGCAAGCTGCCTGCCTACTTGTTGCCCTGCCAATACAATATATAATTGAGGCAAGTAAAATGGAGATATAAATGTTCTTTCTTCAAGTATTTGATAATGACAGCTCCTCGCCTCCAGCCTTCCTGCACTTCAGGAGCTCAGAAAATGACAAGTGAAAGCAATAAACACTGGCACTGCATTAGCCATGGAGTGGCTTTTCCACTCAGAACAGTGGTTGCTCTTCATCACTATGAAGACTAACTGTCTGATTTTCAGGGAATGCCTTGGAAGAAATGTCGGGGCCTGATTTAACAGTGTCATGTAGAGAGAGGGAGACAGACTGTGGCCCAAATATCTCATACAACAGCCACAACATGAGAGAAACAGAAGCATTATCCTTGCTGTATTGCTGAAACATCAACTTCAGAATGATTAAACACACAAAAGCTAAGGAAATTTCCTCAGGTTTCACTAAGCATGTTTTCCAATATCCTTTTACTAAACTATACAAAAACTCTCTCTACAACAATAAATTACATGTAGCCCCCATACATGGGGTCATTCCCTGGAATGGAGGCCAAATGGCACACTTACCTTTGTCCACTTAGTTCCATTTTGGTATGCAAAATTTGGATGCAAAATAGCTGCAACTAAAATGCCCACTGGGAAATCCCCCGGCCCCTTCTCACTCAGGAGTGAGGCCAAGGAATTTGTTGATCTTTTCAGCTGACATGGGCCAAACTGCTACCTGTATACCCCCAAACAATCTAGTGCTACAGATGATCAAGGTTCAGTTCATGGGAATACTCATTGGTGCTATTTAATTCAATACCACAGATACTGCCAAAAATTCTCTGGCAGATAGCATCTCACACTGACACTCACAAGGTAAGTTTTTTCACATGGTAAGTTCTTTCAATAATCTCTCAGAAGGGCATTAAATAGAAGCAGATGAAAACAATGTGAATAAACCAGGCTCATTCACTATCTCAAGGAGGAGAAGAGTGGCTTATCATTATCTTTAAAATGCATCCTAAACAGCATCTGGCTTCATACCCAATATTCAACTAGAATTATTTTTTTCCTTCACCATAATAAACAGGTAGAAGGCATGTGGGGTTTTTCATATTTTTAAGGAGTTTTTATTTTTAAATAAAAATGGAAATAAACCGATTAAGCTTCTATGAAGACACAAGAAACTATTGAAAGTGTAGAATCTAGTAACAAGAAGTGGTTGAAGAAACGGAGACAAAAACTGGGAAAGGCCAGCAAGTACCTAAGTAGAATTTGTAAGTGAAGTTATCCTGTCAGCACAGCACTTTATGCCAACAGAAACCATTCAGTCCTTCAAACCAGAGGACATCAGGGCAATTAAGAAGTGACAAGTGAACATGTATCTTGAAAAATAATGCCTGAGCAGCCCGTTAATTTGGAGGAAGGAGAGATCAGAAGAGATCTCCAGGCCCATCATAAACTTATAGAGCTGCATATTAAACAATAAGGGCTTGGCTGGTTGCTTTCTACTTTATTCCCATTGGAAGGCTTTTGCAGAATCCAAATCTTCTAAGCATTAAGGGCTTTCTTCTAGTTTTGAGCTTAAATATACTCAGGGCTAGGCAGTACATATTTTTTCTGATGCCTGCATCTTTAAGATTAATAACTGCTCTCCTAAATGGCATCTCCCTTTTCGGCATTTACAGGAATCGCCCTACTCTTCTTCCACCTGCCTTCCTAGTCTAAATAACTCAAGATCTCCTGATGTCATCAAGCACATCCATCTCCAATGGTTCCAGCAATCCCTTGGCACTCTCTTATGCCCACACTGTACTGATGACTCCCAGCTGCTCTTTTACGCTTCATTTTAGTTATCCGTGGGTCTTTTTCCCCCTCCTCAGTTTTGGCCAACTGGAGAACACTCAGTTCATGGCTGTAAAATTCTTGCCCCTCTTCTAAATATCTTCTTGGTGGTCTTGGCTTTCTGCCTTTCAAATAAGTAGCTTATCATAAGAGGACAAAGACAGAAGTGTTTTTTTCCTGAAGTAAGCAAATACTTAAACTGTTTATTTAAATATAAAAATTAAGAGGAAGGAAAAAATGACAGCTAAGTGGAAAGTGAAAGTTTAATTTGATGCTTAAACAACTTGAACACTTATGCTGCAGCTGTAGCAGAGGGCTGGTGCTTAGATGTCTGATTGTGATAAAAACAAAAATCCTTCCACTAAGGTTTCAAATTACAAAATAACTTCACCTAAGGGAAGACAAAATGTACATGTGCAAACACTGCCATATGTTTATAGTGCCTTCTCAGCACACCGATGTTTCTCTTCTGGCACTAAGAACTTAGTAGTATGAAGAGTTAATTTCAAGGGGTATTTTGGAGTAATTTACAGTTAGATCAACAGTACTAAGTAAGAAAACAGCACACACATTTGACTTGCAGAATGGGAGGCAATTTGTGACTTTCTCAACAGCTTTTAATACTGATGAAACTTAAAACCACCACACTATTTGGGAATGACATACTTTGTTAGTACTGGGCTGGTTAGAGACTCAGCAGGCTAACTTGTTCATCTTCGCCATTTTTCAGTCAGAGAAAGAAAGAACTGAGGAAGAACTAAGCAGAAAGAAGGCCAGCAGGTACCAGCTCCAGCTAACTTCTACCTGGGTAAAGCATAATTAAGCTTCTTTCCAGAAAAACAAAAATAGCGTTTCTATAGGGATACAGCCTACTCTAGGAAGGATCTTTTTTCCACCGTTTGCCTCACTAAAAAACATTTTGGCTCAGATAGTTTTCTTCTGATGCAAAAATGTGAAAAGTACTGGGAATCTTGCACATTTTTACGGCAAAGCTGTTGCAAACAACAGTTGCCTTTGCCCTACACCCTACAACAGATCACAGGTGAGCCATGTCATGAGGAAAGCATGCTCAACTACAACTTCCAGGCCAGATCGTCACGGACACTGATTTGTTGGTCTGCAGGTCAGAAGCCAAATGCTAGTGCCACACCTCAGCTTCTTGACCTAAAGGTAGGTGAACAAAAGACACTTAAATGTGGGGTGATTATTCCTTTAATGACAAAAAGTAAAGGAGTAGCGCAGCCTGTGTGGGACTTGAAAAAAAAAAAAAAGAAAGATCTTACTACCTATATATTACATTTCCCAAAATTAAATATAATATGTAAAAAGACAGGATTAGCAAATAAAACAGATTTCCTGGCATGACTCTGGAATCATATAAACTTTGTCCTAAGGAAGTTATCTGCCTTGAAGATACAAGGCAGTCAGTGGCATGTCAAAGGTAAAAGTGTTTCTGAGGTGGTTCAGCTACATTTCAGTTCATCAGCTAGTAAACAACTTGGATTTTAAAAGAGATCGTACTGGATAGAAGAGTTAGAGTTGAATTGAACTATCATGTGAAGTCAAGAAGAGAAGAGCACAATAAATATATTTAGCATGAGCTGCTATATAGTTGACAAAGCAGTAATCCATTTGGCATGGCACACTTCTCATGATGTGGATGCTGCTAAGTTGTCTGTCAGAACCTGTCATTATCTTACGAGCTACTGTTATACTCAAGAAATTGTCAGCCTTCGTTGGTGTGAGGACTGGACCAAGATCCCTATGAATTACTATGCTCATTGACTCAGTCTGCAGAAAAAAAATAAAAATAAAGACTATCACACGTAGCACAAAAGGCCCTTCTTCAGAAATGAACGGCTCTATAGATAAAACAGTGGATTAGATTAGTTTCTATTTAATTCTCAATTTCTCTGTCCTTTGCTCTGACAGGTATTGCTTCAAGATCTCTGTACTCAAAAACTCTACATTAGGATAGCCCAGCAGGAGCTGTAGGGGATGGATGAGAGGTAGGTCAAGACCTATTACTTGTTCTTTGCATTAAGTTAATAAATATTTAAGGAGCATAGAAGTGATTCCTCTAATAGCAAAAGCAGAATGGGATGAAGGGGCTTGCAAATTTTGGAACTGGTCTCCCATATATCAGAACTACATAGCACGAAAAACTTTATTTGATCACATTTCACAGCTCCTTAATAGCCAGAAGGAATTTCATTATGGAAATTTTCATACCACTATACTAAGGTATACATGCCTTTTATCCTTACACTTGTTCCGTAAAACCATTTTCCACTCTCCAGCTCAAAATCTCTCTAAGCAGAAAAGTCCTATCTGCCACACACTTGTCATAAACTAGGTAGGATATGACAAAGTTTTTAATTTTATAAATACTGATGTATCTGAAACTTTAAATGAGGGGAAAAAAAAGGAAAAAAGATGGAAAAAAGAATGGTGGGGGAAAAAATATTTTCTATCTTGACTGTTAGGTTCTTAAGCTGCCAGTATTTAACAATAATGTCTCTGTATTTCAAGGTCATGATTACAACAGTTCTGCTATTTATGGATATCAGTGAGAGATTATCTGGTTTTTACCAGTTCAGGCACTCCACCTACACTTCTTTGCATATTTAGTTTTTTTTCAAATGTTTAAAAGATTAGAATTTGACCCTCCAAGATATAAATATAACGGGCAAAAGAGCATATTTCAACAAAATTAAATTATGCTTCTCTGGATTTAAATACAAAAAGGTTAGCCCCACTAGTACACTGATTCACAAGAATGTTAACATCTCCAACTTCAGAGACACCCACATATTATTTCTGCAAGCAGCAAATTACTAAACAGAGTACAACACTCTATGACACATAAACAGAATGCACACAATCAGTGTTTTTCTTTTTGACCAGAGAATGAAAGTCTCTAACAGCAGATACACTGGAATCAAAAATCAATCAAATCTGGACTCCAAAGGAGGTATGGATTATGATGTCACATATCTGGACTTGACTCTCGAAAGTACTCATGTACTACAGAAAATCTTAGGAAGTTGTTACAGAGAGGTTTAACTAGAGTTTTGGCAACTTAATTTGGGACATGAAAGTTATTTGCAGTACAGTACCATGTGTAGTAAAGAAAACTGGTATCACAGTTCCATTTCAATGCTGCATCCCCAAACAAAATGAAGATGCTACAGCTGAGTAATGTGGATGGAAATCTCACCTGCCATCCCAAAGTTAAGCTGTGGCATTTCTTCACTTTTGGTTACTTTCCTTGGGCTCGGTAAGTCTTTTGCAGAATCTGATGCAATGGCCCATAACTTTTTCCTGTTCGTAACACTGGATGTCTGGGTTTTCACAGGTTTGTTGGTTGTGGGGCACCACTTGTACCCTGGGTTTGCTTTCATAAATGCATCCTTGTACTAGAAAAGAAAAGGAAAATTACCAGTCATGACATTATACTATCCACAAGGCAACAGAGTGCACTGCATGTAAGAGGATTTAATACAGTAAATAATCCTTAAATATCTTGATTTTTTTAACAGTTTAATCACATGCTTAGAGTCTGACCACCAACTCAATTTGCTAAGAAGAAATATTAAGATATGTAGAGTCATATATAAAAAAGTGGGGTTTCTCCTTCTTCTCCTGAGGGTCCATTACCCAGAGCAGGCTGAAGTTCTGATCCTGCAAACTACTCCTCAGTGCTTGCATGCTCATGCTATGAGAAACAGATATTTGAATTCTTTAGCAGGTACAATCTTTGTTTGCTTTACAGTTTGAATCAAATGAAAACATACATTTAGCAACAAATGCAGCATGATGTGTCTTACCTTGCACCCATTCTTCTCTGTTTTGTATTTTAGAATATTTGAGTATATGCTTTCCCAAACCAGGCACCAAAAATAAATCAGAACCAGTATAATCCCATATTCAGTATCTTGGGATACATCTTCCCAGTGCTTCTTCCAAAATGTGCCATGCTGCATGGCTGCATAAAATAAACTGTGACCATTTAAAACACTCTTTGGCCTTGAGCACCCAGCACACATCTCAGTTGTTTGCTGTGTTCTTGGTATGAGGCAGCAAAACAAAGGAAGCCAGATTACACATGGTGGGTGGGGAAAAAGGCTTGGATCCTACACAGTTTGGGAGGTAGGGGAAAGGACGATGACCTATTTTATTCACAAAACGCAACAGCAACATTTTTCAAGTATCTTGCTGACCAGATTAAAATGAGATTTTTGAATGTTAACAGCAATAGAAAGACTGCATTTCAGTATTTTAAATGTGTTGCTATGCAAGGTGGAGAACTAGCGAATCAGAGGAACATGCCACACATTCCAGCTGCAGATGTTTGCATAACAACTGATAGGGGTGTTCAGCACTGGCTGCTGGGGGAGCCTACCCAGTAAGTACCAGTGCCCAGACTGCAGGGAGAAGGATCCCAGTACCTCCTCAGGACTGGGCAGCTCTCAATGGCAGCAAACGACCAAAAGAGCGGTTTTATCCTTGGAAGTACACGGCAGGGCAGTTGCAGGAAGTTTGTTCTGTGATTACTCGTTCCCACCCACACAGCTGTCATCAGTCCCAGTTACGGCACAGAGAAGCACCTATGTTTCATGCACATGCGTGCACAGAAACACAGGCAGAGAGGAAAAAAATCCCTTGGGCATCAGATACAGAAACAGCATTGAAAACCTTGTCCTCTGATGGAGCCACTACGGTGTTTTCCCAGATCAATAAACAGCATGCCTTGTGGCAGGATCACCATCGCATGTGCACTGCTTGCTTTCATTTCCGTCCTAACCTATGAACTGGCACTTGCTACCTCCAGACTGTAGCACAGATAAAAACGTTTCAGTTTACAAGAAACACAGCACTGCATGAACCCGCTGTGTGAAGTCCTGTATTTATAGAAATGGCTATAAATAATAAAGATCTGCAGGGATCACTGACCCACATACACACTGTATTTTCTGAACAGCGCATATGTATTAAATCTGCAAACTAAGGACTGCGACATCTCACCTCGTGCCTTTTCCCTTTCCCTCAGTTTGGTCTAGGAGCTCAGTATACCACAAAAATAGCCTGGTGGAGGGAAGGGAAAGGAAGGGGAGGGTAAGGGAAGAGGAGAAAAGGAAATACACGGCGGCGAAGGAGCTTTGCCGTCTATTGTTAAAGCCACAGCCCGCTCACAAATCATGTTTCCAGCCTGTGCAGTGAAAAGCACAGTTGCTAGCAATGAGGTGCATAAGCTCTTCAGATCAGCAATGCTGCTTTGAGTAACTGAATTATTCTATTGAGTAATTTGACAAGCCGACAGGCTGCCCATCAAATGAGAACCAGAACGCATACCATTTGCGAGACGAGGCTGCAATAAGCTTTTAATCAGTTTTCAACAAGAGCAATTCAAGTGAGCTGGTGTATTAACAGATTTTTTTTTCCTCTGCAAAGCCAAGAAGTGAACATTAACTGCACTCTCTGAAGGGGAGGGGACAAACTAAGGGAGGACAATTCATTGGAACTGTTCAGTTTCAACACCCGTGATAAAAGAAAAGAAGATTTAAAAAGTCAAACTATGGCAAAGAAGGACTTTTATAAAATGTATACAGGGGCCTGGTCCAAATCTCAGAAAGACTTTCATTATTGATTTTTGTGACTATTAGACTAAGGCTTAAAATGAAGAGATACATTCTGCTTGCCAGGTCATGAGAAGATAACTTTAATGAGCTACACAGTAATAAGAAAATGTCAAAAACAATACTAGAGTTGACTGTTTTCCTCCCTTTGACCAACTGTGAGGTAAACTAACTTAATGCAGCCAGCCTAAGCACACCTCTAAAGTCAATTAAAACAAACCAACCACAACCAAGCCAAACCAAACAAACAAAACCACAAAAAACCCCAACCCAAACAGTAAGCACTTAACCTGGAATGCAAAGACACCTCCTTGGTTCCCACACAAGTAGGAGGGACAGCCCAGCATGGTCCCATCCCAAAATTCCAGGTAAGATAAAATCCAGGATATGTTTGTGGGATTAGTCTGATGCATCATTTCTGTTTTGTGAAAGCCTGAGGAATGCTGTGTTATGCAGTGGGATTGGTGCCACTTCAGAGCTGCGGTTAAAAAATGTGTTGTGCTTTAGTGCAACTCCCCGAGTTGCTTTCATCACCAAATAAAAAAAGATTTGCTTTCTCCAGCTGTAGCAGGAACAGGAGTTCACAAGTGGATTCCAGCTACACCTCAGGGTAGCAGTTAGCACATGCTTAAACTTAAAATGTATGCTTAAATCCCATCAACTGGCTATTAAATGTCACATGAATCCCAGAGATCTAAGATAAAAAAAAAGAATCCCCGGAAAATAGAACACGCCGGTTTTTCACTCCTGGAGGATGCCGGGTTTGCACTACACACATGTCACCCTGTGGACTTCCAGACTCCAGCCAGCAAGCCAGAACATTCATCCCCTCCCACCCTGAGGCAGCTGCCAAAGCAGTGGCACCTCAAGGCCAGCAAGCTCCCAGTTGGGCTGACTGTACCTACGACATCGCGGGCCAAGGACTCGCAGGTTCAAGTGTTCAACTCAGCCACTGAATGGCAGCAGAAACACAGAATCAACCAGGCTGGGAAAGACATCTGAGATCACTGAGTCCAACCTGTGACCCAACACCACCATGTCAACGACACCATGGCACTAAGAACCACATCCAGTCTTTCCTTAAACACCTTCAGGGATGGTGACTCCAGCACCTCCCTGGGCAGCCCATTTCAATGTCTAATCACATTTATCAGGCTGCTCCCTACAGGAAGGAATCCCAACTGCCCAGATCTCACTGATGCAAAGACGTATTTAAAATTGAAGTGTCTTCTACCAAGGGAACAGGGCTTGAACAGTAACAATCTCACTTTCCAAGGTGGCCGAATACTTCCAGTAAGTCCTGTAAGAGCTAACAAAGAACATTATTCCTATTACTGAAGTAAATAAAAATGCTGGAGCATATTTATGAGTGGTCACATTAATTTCCCATCAGTGAAGAAAAATGCTAACAAGGCAGCAACACTTGTGGTTCCACTTGGAGTATTAACCGGCTACTGGGCTTATATCCTAGATCATGAAACTTTTAAAGTTAAGTTGCTCTAGGAAGTTTGCAGGACAGAAATAGAAAGCCTGGTCCTAAAGAAAACACCATCAGAAGCAGACATCAAGCTCTGGAGGTGCAGCATCAGGTCTCCAGGGCAGGTGTTGCTACAAGAGACCATCAATCACAAGACTGAAAAGAGTGGGGGGGTGGAATCAGTTTTTCCAGATAATTAAGGCACCCCAAGGTGCAGATAGGTACATAATGGGATTTTCCAAACTGTCTATATGAACTACAGACCTGATTAGCCTCTCAGTGGGAGTCAGGGATGTCCAGTCCACTAGGAAACGTCACGTAATTCTGACTGGTAAAAAGTTTGGGCGCCTCCCTATCTTCCAAAATGCTAGATCTTGCACATACCTAGACATATGTAAATAAATATACAAATGCCTTGACTTGCATACTGTTGAGATAGTATCACTGCTAGTAGAAAGCAGCTAAGAAACTGAAAGCTTCTTTCTTGATGCTTGATCTAACCTACCTGGCTTTGTAAGCTACAGCATCAAGTAGGAAAAAACATTCTAGAGACTGCAGAACAACAGGGGCTGTAGCCACTGCAGTAGGGATCACTTCTGTCAGGCCTACCTGTACCTCTGATTCAGATGCTCGGGGTACCCAAGACACATTCTGGGGATAGCAGACATGATACAGGGTCCTCTGGGAGATGTGTGCCCTGCCAGTACAACGGATAGAGGCTATGCAGTGAAAACTGGAATTCAAAAAGCACTGAAAACCTACGTTTAAGTAAGAGAAGCTCACCTGCTGTATTTTAAACCTCAATGAACTTATCATATAGGTACCAAAACAGAAGATTATTGGTACAATGGTAATTTTATGTTCTTCTAACGGCATTCACCTTCTTGATTTTTAAATAAGCTCTCCTTAGGAAAAAGAAAAACACTAACAAGTGGTTTTCACTAGAGTTAACCTCTTTTTGACAGTCTCAGTAGTAAGTCTAAGTACAGGCAAACCCGTGCAACCTGCTCTAGGTGAACTTGCTTGAGCAGTAGGTTAGACTAGACGATATTCAGAGATCCCTTCCAAGCCCAGCTATTCTGTGGTTCTGTCAAAAGCAAATGTTAACATAAAATGACCAATCCACACATACAGAGTGGGCTTGTTAGTGAAGTCCCAAATATATTCAGTAGCACATTACAGCTGCTAATTATTGTTGTAACATACACTGTTTAAAGAATACAAATTATACTCTATCTCTTTTCTATGCATTTTTGGAACTACTTATAATGATGTAAACTACTAAGATTTATTGTTTCACTTTGATGTTGAATATGTAATTTGTTCTTCATGCCAAAAAACCCCATCACTACAGGAACAATGATTTCTACAACAATATGATTAATAGTTTCAGATCTGCCGCTTCGTACAGAAGTTCTGCAATTTTTCCTCTTAATGAATGAGTTTCCTTCAGCAAGACAAAAGGCTAAAAAAAAAGCCACATTGTGTCTGTTTCTTCTAAAAATTATTTCTTAATTTTCTTCTCTGCATCTATACTGAATCTGCTAACTGCCCTTTCCCCACATATTTAGAGAAGCATCATTAATTTGTAAGTGGGAATGCAGAACAAAACAGAAATGGTTGGACAAAGCTGAGGCTCAAATATTTCAAATCTGTGCCACACATGGGGAACTACAGAGGTACTACAGACCCTGCTTCAAAAGAGACCTGCCATGCAGAACACTTTGTTTTTCCTGTGGACCTTTCCATGCTCACACAAACTACTGAACAGCCAGACCTTATATATACATGTTAACAGCAGCACACACCTCCAGGTCACAGGGCAGACACAGATACTAGTTTTCCCAGTTGTTTCACAGCTACCTGCACTTCCCATAGTGTGCTAGCATTACTTGACAAATGAGAGAGATGTTTTTCCTTCTCACTGGTGCTCCATTATTTTTATTAAGATTGAATTAAAAGGTTATCCACAATCTATATCACACAAGTAATTACAGGGATCTGTTTTGGGCTGATGTTGTCAGCCTAACTAACTCACTGTGTTTTTCTCGATGTACTATCAAAAACTATAGCCTTCTTGGGGACAGCTTATCAAGAAAGATATTTCTTAAAAAGTCTCATTTAAATTTTCAGGTGATGTAAAGATACTTGGTGAAATATGGGGATGAATCTCTTTCCCTTGCTTCCTGTTAAGGGACTCTGACTTATGTATTGCTCTCTGATTTGGGTATTGGACTCATCAAAGGTTGCTCTATCAGAAAATAGTTACCAATACACAGGGAACATACTTCATGAAACACTTATAATTTTTTAATTCTTTAGCATCAAAGGTAAAAAGGGACTACATTTCTTGACTGTGCCTTTGGTTTGGTCCACCTGTACTATAATAACAAACTGTATTACTGGTATCACATGAACAGCTTGAGCTAAGTATCACTAGTCAGCTGACAGTGAACTGTGTGTTACCGTTTTCAATGGCCGCTATCCACGTGTTAATGCTTGTACTGCAGAAATTATCAGGTGATATCTATCACAAAGTACATTTGTACCAATGACTACTAGAGCCAGATTAGTTTGTGTACCCAGACCAATTTCTTTTCATTCTGGTCCCGAGGACCAAGTGAATTAAAGCAAGAACAGCAGCTGGGCACCATAGCCCCACTAGGGAAGCTGAGAAACTCAGAGAAGAGAAAGATCCCACAGAAAACATTTAATACACAGAGAAAAAGAAGATAAATATGTAATAAACTCCCTTTACATCCACCATTGAGACAGAACATACCTCCTTGGCCATGTCAGTGTATTTCTGTTTTTCTTTTGGATCTAGAACAGACCACCAATCTGCCAAGATCTTGGTTGCGCCACGATTATCGAGGCGAGGGTGTTCTTTTCTCACAAGAGAGCGGTGGCGTTTGCAGAACAAGAGAAATGCATTCATTGGTCGGCGAGCTCGTTGCTCTGAGGACTCGTCATCTTCAGTCTCATCAGCATCCTGCTCTAAACCATCAGGGCCAAGGAGCGGCACCTGGCAGAACCAAAAGGGAAGGGGTGTGAACTCAGTTATCCACGTTTCTCACCAACACTGAGTGTGAATGAGGGAGAAGCACACGGATGCACACAGCTGTCTCCAAAGGCCATCTGTTCCATCCAGGAGATGCAGAGTTCTACATCAAACCTCCTCACCTGATAGTCCAAGGTTCATTCATGCTCTCTGCAAGACTTAAACTCTGACTTCCACATAGAACAGACTTCTAAGCTGAGGAGCTTTCTCTAGTAATAGTTCTAAAGGGGCTGGAGGGAGGAATTCATTCTTCTTTGCTCTTCCTACAACCTGGAAATCATCTTAGTGGGATTAGGCAAGCAGAGCTACCTTGGTCTTCAGTTATTTGCTGTTTGCAACTACAGAGCACACAGGGAGGAAAAGGCACAGGTAAAGTTGTTTCCCCATCTCCGCCATTCATTGCTCAGCCTGTGAGCTGTGCAGCACTGCAGCCCAGTCAGAGACAGAGGGCAAATCTCAACACAATACACTGCCAAAACACGCTCTCTCCATTTACAGGCCAGGGTACCATTCCTACAAGGGTTATGCCACAAAGGACTAGTTCTGACTGAATGAAACAAATTATTGCATGACACGGAAAACCACCTCCTACCTAACAGCAACACTACTGTTTTATACCACGTTGTGAAAGTGACCTGTAAGGTCATCAGAAAGCACTGTCAGAGTATCAGGCTCCTTCTTATCCTTATCAAGGTCACACTCCCTTATTAGCACATGGCTCAAGGCAGTCTCCTCAGCACTGACCTCTTCATTCCTGCCTTAGGAAGGCATCAAGGAGATTCAGATATGAATGCTACCCACATGATGGAAACATCACAAATCCATAAGCAATTCCCACTTCTTGTTAGAGAGGATGATTTTAACAGCAGATCTGTGAGGTGCCACATGGCATGGGGGGGTCCTTATGAAAACAGGATAAGGTCAGTGTCATTGAACAATACCAAAATACCAAGTGTCAAACTGGAGACAGATTATTTCAGCTGTGCACTCAATACTCTAGAGGATAAGCTGAATTTCACATGCAAAGATAGCAAAAATTGTTGACAGCTTTTTCCTTCTTTTTACCCTTTAATCTTTGTCTTTTTTTTAATCTTTAAAAAAAAAAAAGAACAAAAACTATTAGTTTGTTATGGCCTCAGAGCCACTAGAAGCAGACACCAAGCACAGGCCAACATCATGTCTAAAATAAACAATTAAAAAGACCACATCAAAACACATCTTGAGCAATCAAGATTGAGATGTGCAGCATGTTATTAAAACAACCCAGTTAAAACTCTTACAGTCTAACTCTAAAAAAATTTGTCCATGATTTTAAAAGCATGATTGACAATTCACTTTCTTGTGTCACTACTTGCCTTTATAGCTTTATGGGCACAGTATCACTTATTTTTATTGTCTGTATTTGTTCACAAAAGAGAGCAAGACAACACAAACAAAACAAAAAACACAGCTAGGGCGAATCTGACCCACCATTAACCATCCGTAGTCAAAGCATCCAATGAAATCTACCTTATCAATATCTTCTTCTTCTTCTTCCTCTTCTTCCTCTTCAGAGAAGTCAAGGAGTTTCTTGGCAAGCAGGGGATGCCACTGAAGACACTTCCTTTTTGGTCGCTTCCCAGTTCCTTCTCCTTCTGTCGAGTGATCCTTATTCCTACTACTGCCTTTCATTACTGTGACCTGTCATGAAAAAATATTGATAAGTTCACAACAAACTCTCAGACATAAATGACCATCTAACCAGTGAAAAATATATGAAGCACTAATACAAGACTCTTGGAAGTTTTTGGCAAGATACTAGATAGGGATTTATTCCAATTAGCAACAAAAGGATGGATGTACCTTTTCCAATCTTAATGTTTCCACTTAATGCCTACAGTAACTAGCAACATACAATTTAAGAGCATAAAGTAAGGATGCTAGCCAGTCCAGCTCTCAAATGTGCTCCTGTCTGAAGCATAGCTGAGAAGCCCTCACACTTCACTAGTTAAGTGATAGGGAGACTCCATAGCTCTCCCATACCTGTAACCATTGTAGCTTTTCATATTTTGCGACTGAAAATGTCAGGACATCCCTCTTTCTGGCAGTGGAACACATCACCAGCCACTCATCCATTAATCATGCATTTATATATAGCAATGTTGATACAAAACCCCATGATACTATGAGCTAGGATTTCTCCAGTGTCATTAAAGGGTGCAATAGAGAAGGAAATCTGAGTCCCTAAGAGAAGTGAGTTTTAAAACACAAATTTAAACCAAACACCAGAAGTAGTTATGCTGACACTTCCAAAGTACTTCACAGAAAACAAATACCACGTGCTGATCCAAGTGCGTGCAGAAGATAAATCATATTTATTTATTCATCTATCTTGTCCGCATGTGTCCTTATCTAAAATATACCTCAAAACTACTTCTCAGTAAAAACACAAGCTTAACACATCCCAACTACAAATTTAAGAGTTGACTTCAGAGATCTGCTACTCAAATATGGGGCAAATAAATACATAAATAAATAAAATCAGCACATCACATCCAAGTACTGAAGCCCACGGCGAGCCAGCGGTGCTGGCACACAGTCTGGTCCCCCACAGCCTTCTGTTTGTACTGTGTACTGTCAATGGTAAGCCTGACAGGAGCATGGCTGGCTTTCTAAGAAAGCAAACATCGAAACAAACTGAACCTGAAGAGCAGTTAGCAAGCTACATCTTTATAAAGCCAACAAAAATTGATGAAGTCTCACAGGGGCTTCTCACCAGCAGAAAAAAGAAGCTGGGCTAAGTCCTGGTCCCACTGGCAAAGCCAGAAGAAGCTCTGTTGCTAATTCTCAGGAGAAGGGCACGGAAAGGGGTCAAACTGCAAGGCCACAATGCATTTTAGGATGCTGTTTTCTGGAAGATGCTATGTACAATGCTAATGTTTCAGCCTAAAGCAGAAGGAGGGAAAGCTGCCACACCTGCACTTACACTGCCTGCCCAAGCCATGGTGCCACCATTTGGGCAAATGACTCACGAGAACTATCTCACACAGTGAATACAGCCCACACAGCTCCAGCCATGCTCCTACATATCCCACCCATTTAGTGATCACTATTGCTGGTTTTGGTTGATCTCCTCCAGGTATGTTTCTTGTTGGTTAACTCACTGGCATTTTGGCAATATGCCCTTGTTTGCATCAGAAACTTGAGTAAGCAGCTGCTTCCTCTGCTGACTCCAACAGTGCAGAAAGCTGAAGGACCTTCAGACACTGCTTGCTGGAGGAGACAACTGAAGCCTGAAGGAAATAGGTCCAGATATTTTAACCTACATTTTAAAATGGCATTTTCCTGGATGCATATTAGGGTTTGATAGCTCCTCCCCACTTGTCAGCAGACTGTAGCCCCCTACCAGTTAAGGAGGCCCTGTAACTTTGCAGCTGCTTCCCATGAAGTTACACACTTTGCTATCCCCATAATGTCACTTCTACCTGGAGGACATTTAAACTTTGATTTCACAGCACCCACTCCTCTGTTCATTTTCTGTAATCAACTCCTGCTGGTTACAGCAAGTATTATATAGCACTTAATCATGGCCCATTTCACCTAAATCTTCTTCCGTGATTTGCAAAACAGATCCAAATACACAAACAACTTTGGCTTTAAAAAAACATTAAAGTGTGGAAAATTAAGCTGCAATCCAGTATCATAAAATGCATGTTTGAAATTGTTTTTATCCCACTGTAACCTCTGCCACTGCACCATGCTCCCCATCTGTCTCTCTTCCTAAAGAGCTGAACCACCATTTGCTTTTGTTTGGGTATTTTCAGACACAAATCAACAAAGCTGAGTTAATGTTCAAGCAGGAACTTCAGCTCCTATGGGTAGCAGAGATTCATTCAGAGATTCAGAGTTTGCTAAGAGATACAGATCTACCTGTAACTCTAGTCAATAAAGTATGTGGCCTATTTCTGAGCAGGATAAATATGCTACAAGTACGATGGGGAGTCAGCTACTCCAGCCCTTACCACTGACTTATGTAGGTGAGCTAATCATATGGCTTCTGCCTACAATCAGTCCTAAGTACATGAGTATTACTGGCAACCTTCTACCTTGTTACTGTGAAACTAAATTAATGTTTGAGCGCTCCGTGATCCTCCTCAGCTCAGCTGAAATCTCAGGGCTATTTCAACAACGGCATTGCCTTTAACTGGCACCTCTCTGCCTGCTGCCCTTCCTTAGACAGATCAGCACAAGACTTTAGTGATTCCACAGTGTATTTTACACATCTCCTCCATCACTCCTGAGGCCCTGCCTATCCTCTATGCTGAGTTCAGCAAGGCAGCACAGACACTAAGCATCTGTCACCTTGCAAATCCCAAAGGGACTCTCAGTATGTTACGCCTCTTCACTACAGCCCAGCTCACAAATAATTTTTGTTTTCCAAGTGTAGGTATTGAACACTCAATTACCTCTAAAATAAATTAACTAAAGCTCACCACACATTAGCACTAAAATAGAAATGTATGCTCAGCTTCAGGAATTCAAGGGATGTTCCTTTAGTTGTTTTCTTAAATTGTGAACTGTTTTACCCTACTACTTGTCACCCTGAAGCAGCAGTTTCACTAAAAAAAGGGGCTTTTAAGGAAGATGGGTTGTTACCCTATCAGCTGAACATGCATTTAGGAGACCCAAGACATAGAGTAAGTCAGATCCTGGTTGTTATATGGGTATCATATATTACAGAAACACACAGAGTCACTTTTTGCTTCCACTTTGGAGTGCAATGGTCAACAACAAAAACCCTGCTGATCTGACCCCACTGATGGAAGGACTGACTGCCTTTAAGGACGACAGACTGACTTTAAAGTTTAACTGCATGGCCTGGAAGCCCCTCACCCCTTAAGTATGTCAAGCCATATACTCTATCCTCCATGCTTTCTCTTCTTGCCTGTAAAATAGAGGTTCATTCATAACATGAACACAAAATTATTTCAGCCTCTATTTTTTAATACATCTATGTTTCCAAATCCTCTTTCCGCATTTTGGCATATTCAAATTTTCATAAGTTTTGATCTGTATTTCAGACACTTTTTTTGGTGTTCACTTTTTTCTGATGCCTTTCTCAGTCAAATATAGGATTGGCATAACGAAAAACGATCTAATTCTCTATTACATCACATGGGACTTTTCCTCTTAAAAACGGATGCCAACATAGAACTTGCTTTCCTTTGGATTGCTTCATCTTTCATATTACTACCCTCCCACTTTATGGGCATTTCTGTCATAATTGTTGATATTCACATACTCATGTAATTATGAGAAAAGACCACAAAAAAATTCAGGTAAATGCAAAATACAGCTAACATGGATACTTTCCTTCCTTCTGACAAAATGCAGTGTAACTACTTAGACAAGACACTCTGTGGTCAAGTGAGTGCATGTATGATTAAATCACAGTGAAAGTTTTACTGGCACTATTTACTTTGTGAATGGCAAAACATCAGTGGAATCCATTTACCTGATTCTTAAGATTCTGTTTATTTATCTGGGGTTATTTTTTGCCTTGACACATTGCCAACAGCACGTTAGTTGCTTGTTTTGCATGAGAGACTGGAAACTGGCAGAAAGAAGCAATCAAAAATAGCAGCTCCTGCTCTTACTTTCAGGGACCCCCAAGTGCTGGCAAGCATCCCTACCAGCAAGGATTTGAAGAAAGAGCTGGACTTGGACCCTACAAGAACTGAAGCATGCTTGGCAATTAAAAAGCTCCACAGAAAGTCACAACGCCAGTCATGGGCAGTCTTCGCAGGACCTGGGCTTAAAAGTAGAGAAGATACACAGCACCTGAAGTGCAAAGTTTGCAGTAACTGGAATTTATGAACCATGTCACAAAAAAAAAAAAAAAAAGGTAATTTCTTCAACAGCATCAGTAAAAATATCATGCATCTTTTAAGGCAGATGTAATGGCTTTTAGAAGTTAGCAAGAGTAAAAATCATTAAAACCAGCTAACAAGATTTTACAAGCTACTTCTCAGCTTAAGGATGACAAGAAAGGTGACAGCCACTAGGGAGAAAGTAGGAATATTTCAACAAGACCAAAGTATGGACAGTTTTGCTTAAAATAAGCCACATATGCTTTATAACATCACCAGAGGATACCTGTCAAGGCTGACATTCATGATCCACTGACAGCAAGAAATACCTTCAGGGTGACATTCTACACCTACTTTTGTGCAGACACAGATCAAACAGTAAAAAAAGATAAAGTTGGTTTTTTTTTTTGATGCTAGCTGTATTATTTCCTTTCTGGTCCTGGAAACATTAATCAAAGAATCACAGTTTTCTCAGATGTCTTATAAATATGTATACCTAACAGAGCTTCAGAAGAAAAAAAAAATTAAGATTTCTTAAGAAAAGAGCTGGATGGTGGAAGAGGGGGAGCAGGGGAGAAGACTGACTGTTTACCTTTTTACTGCATGTTTCTATTTTAATTACACAACTGTATGCAAGTCTTCATTTATTAAGTGTTAATAACAACAAGTGTTTGATTACATTTGGTAACATTAAGTTTTGTTTTCCCTAGCTTACTCTGTTATTTATGAAACCTTATATACACAGGTGACCAACTTCTGCAGTACTAATTTTGGGACCATCTCACCCCACTGTTGATCTGTCACTGAAAATGCTGCTTGTGCTGAACAAGG